AAACAATAAAATAAATATTATTTTATTATTATTTTTATTGTATTATTTCCCTTCCACGTGACTTTACCGAGAGAACCAAGAAGATGAATCCCTGCAGTCACGAAAGCTTTAAATCGAAATAAAGACGATGTTTACGTAAAATGTGAAGCGTTCATTCAGTCCCGCCTGCTGAACGATGCCAAACTTTGAATGTGCGGTGACCCCGAGGGGGTCACACGTGATGCCGTCACGTGTGAGCCAATCATGCGTGAAGGCCAGAACAGAGTGGGGGGGGGGGGCGGGGGGATTAATGTATGGATATCAATTACAATGGATACACATTACCGGGTAGGTTATTTATAGGGTGATTAACACACATTAGGGTAAGCATAGGGTGATCAACATACCACCGATCTACTCGCCACCACCGACCCCCTCATCATGACCAAAGTCTTCTCCGGGTTAACACGACTCACTTATTCTCCGCAGTATTTTTTCAGTAAAATTGGAAGATGCGAACGTCAAATATCACTGCTTCCTCCCCCCCGCACCTCCGATGAGAACGGCTGCCTAGGCAGGGTGCGAAATAAATGCAGGTTCGATCCCGACCCTGACGCCTGCTGCTGTATATTTGGCGTTTGCATGTTCTCTCTCTTTCTCTCTGTCTCTCTCCCCGTGGTCGCGTGGATTTTTCTCCGGGTCCTCTGGTTTTTTTCCCATCCACATTTAGAAACGCGCGTTTAGAGAGTTGTTTGGCGGCTATAAATGTCCACGTGATAAACAACTTAGTTTAGCTTTCATTTGTGGCCAGGTCACTTCTAAAAAAGGGCTGTATAGCTCAGTGGGCCTTACCTGCTAAAATAAAAGTAGTTTCTAGTTTTTAGTTTAACATTAAAATAAAATAAATTACCAGTTAATGAAGCTCACTGAGCTGATATGCAGCTGTTTTTCAGAACCTGGCTATCATCAATGATAGCTCAACGAGGTGGTGTGTCATCATCATCATCATGTCGACATTTATAGCAGCCACACATTCTAAACGCGTGATGTCGATTCTAAATGTGGAGGGGAAACCCCGATGACCCATAGAAAAAATCCACGAGACCACAGGGATAGAGAGAGAGAGAGACACGCAAACTCCAAATATACAGCAGCAGGCGTCAGGGTCGGGATTGAACCCACGACCTTCTGTACACCAGGCGAGGTAGTTAACATCTCCTAGCCACCGTACTGATGATGAGAGAGAGAGACCCGCAAACTCCAAATATACAGCAGCAGGCGTCAGGGTCGGGATTGAACCCACGACCTTCTGTACACCAGGCGAGGTAGTTAACATCTCCTAGCCACCGTGCTGATGATGAGAGAGAGAGACCCGCAAACTCCAAATATACAGCAGCAGGCGTCAGGGTCGGGATTGAACCCACGACCTCCTGTAGACCAGGCGAGGTAGTTAACATCTCCTAGCCACCGTGATGATGATGAGAGAGAGACACGCAAACTCCAAATATACAGCAGCAGGCGTCAGGGTCGGGATTGAACCCACGACCTCCTGTATACCAGGCGAGGTAGTTAATATCTCCCCAACAGACAAACATACATTCCCGCCATAACTAAAGGCAAGGCCATGTACAGACGTGTCTAGACACGCCGTCTTGTATAAACATTACTTTACCGTTGAGTGCTCGTCAACCCGTGTGCTATTTTAGGCTCCTATAAGGTGCACCTCTTTTTGGAAACAATATTTTCTTGAGAAACATATTTTACTTGTCAGTAAAATGTCACAGCAAGGCTATAAAGAGTTTACCTTGCTAATATCGATGAGCATAAACCATCACGCCAACGTCCTTCACCCTGTTTAACGAGGAGGCTTTCGCGACCAATATCATCCATAATACAGGTTTCTTTTGGGGGGTTAGATTGCTTAAATATCCTCGTAGCAGCTGGCCATCGAACAAAGATCGTTAGCACATCGCGGACTTTCAGGTGTGCTTCTGCGGCCGTCTGGAACGCTCTTCCTCCCGATATTAGGAAGTCACTGGAGCTATGATACACTTTTTAGTCATCATCTAGATCGACAAACTAATTTATTGAGAAATTTCCTTTGTGTTTTTAAGGTTGTTGTACTTTCCCCGCACCTCCGATTAACACGGTTGGCTACGTACGGTGCGAAAGAAGTTCAACATACCTTCACCATACTATACACTACAATATACAATACACGCTACACTATACACTACGATATACACCACGCTATACACTACGCTACTATGCACAACCACACTATACTGATCATGCATTCTTTATAACGGCTGTTGGTGTTTGCTTTGTTGCTCACCTCCGATGAGCATGGTTAACGACATACATTGCGAAAGGCATTCAACATACACACCAATACACTGCACATTCCTCGACACATGCTTGCGAGGTTCCGGCCGTTCAGCACATTTCTTGAAAGTCTTTTTGATCCCCACTCGGGTATCATGCGCAAGACCCAAACGTGAGTCACGAAGTCGACCACAAAGCAACACGGTTACCCAGGATGCAATGTGCGAACAACATTTCGCCATTTTGCTTTTGAAACAAATTAGTGTGTGCAACATTTCTACGTTTTTTTTTAAGCGTGGGTTGTCTGTAGCTCAATATGAACTGTGATGGAACCATTCATATGCCCTTTTTGAAACTGTTCATCAAAAAATAAAAATGTTTTAAATGTAAGTCTCATGAGTCCCCATGGCGTATACTGCAGCCTCCAACTCTTATCCACTTTATCTCTCTGCTGGCCTATGCGCTCTGAAGAAGGGCTTGAAAGGTCACGTATAATGTATATATATTGCCCTTTCAAGGCCACATTGCCTTTTGGCGTCATCTGGTCCAACACCATGTGAGACTAGGCTCTAAGAAAAGCTGTCTCGGGTGTGGACCAATCAATTTCAAGGACAGTGCATACATTATCAGAGTTGTGTTTTTTGTTTGCATTCCGACCGCAGGTATTGTGGTCAATGCAAACATGACTGCTTGTAAAAAAAGGTGTCAGTTTTGTTGCCAGATAAAAAGGTAAAAAAACAATGATCATTTTTTGCTACTGGCAAAGGAGGTTCCAATGGTGAATGTAATTGGGTTTTAATGATTATAAAACAATGCAATTTACGAGCATAAGAATCAATTTTAGTGATGCATTGTTGCATACCTGCTTTGTTTGAGCAGAAATCTTGACTAATCAGAATATGTAATTATACTGGAGAAATCCGATAGCTATACACACATATTTTTTTACAACAGCTGGAGTACAGATCGCGGTTAGAGCGCCACCTCCTGGCTGAGACCAATACCACCGCACACGTCACAATGCACCACGTGCTTTAAACAAAACGTAATCTCTCTCTCAATATTAATTTCATGAGGGTCCTGCCAACACTATGAGACATCTCCTTTACCAGTGGCAAAATATAGTAATAGGTTTTTACCCTTTCAACTGGTACAAAAACTGACACCTTTATACAAGGCATCATGTTTGCAATAACCACAACACAAGCAGTCAAAATGATTGGTCCACATTGTCCTTGAAGTTGATTGAGTTGTACGCCTTTGGCGTCATCTGGTCCAACACCAATGGAGACTAGGCTCTAAAAAAAGCTGTCTGGAGTGTGGACCAATCAACTTCAAGGACAGTTCTTATCATTATCAGAGTTGTTTCTTTTTGTTTGCATTTTGACTACTTGTGTTGTGGTTATTGCAAACATGATGCCTTGTATAAAGGTGTCAGTTTGTGTACCAGTTGAAAGGGTAAAAACCTATTTCTATGGTCCTGCCAGCATTAGGATGTTTTGTTTGTAATGTATGTTGAACTTATTTCGCACCACCGTAGAGGCACGGAGGAAGGACAACTACACACAATAGGCAGTGTAGACATACATTCATACTGGTAGGAACCTCCTGGTTACACCAGCCCACAGGGGATTATTGTGTCCGTCCGTCGTGCATCCAAAAATGGGAGTGGGGCTGGGTGGAGAGGGGAGGGTGGGGAGGGGCTGGGTGGGGAGGGTGGGAGGGGAGGGGCTGGGTGGGGGTGGGGCTGGGTGGGGAGGGGCTGGTCACCCCGTGGTGCCCTTATAAAACTCAACGTTTAACCTACTCACGCCGGCTTGTGCCCGCCCTCACAGTCGGGCATATTTGCGGAATACACCACGCCGCCGTTGACCCTGGCCATTGACCGAGCAACCCGACGTTCCTACCAGCTCCCTCTGCAGGAATGTGTTTTGCAGGTATTGAAACGGCTGTACGCCGTATGGACCTCCAAACTCAATTTCCCTTTACAAGAATACGGTGTAAACCGTATGGGTTCGCAGGTATGACTTTGACATACATTACAGGAGAAAGGTGCGTCTTATAGTCCAGAGATACGGTACATCCTTTTGTATCGATCTCGCCTTCCCTACGTAAAATGGCACTCTCCCTTTCCAAGATGGCGCTCTCCCTATACAAGATGACGCCCTACCTATGTAAGATGGCGCCCTCCCTATGCAAGATGGCGCCCTCCCTATGCAAGATGGCGCCCTCCCTATGCAAGATGGCGCCCTCCCTATGCAAGATGGTGTTTTCCCTACGCAAGATGGCGCCCTCCCTACGTAAGATGGACGCTCCCCCTACGTAAGATGGCGTTCTCCCCCCCCCCCACCTCAACCGACAATGACGCCACAGCCACCCGCCCACAATGACGAGAGGCGACGCGTGCGCGCGTACGATTGGTCAACCGCGAGCGCGTGATGCAAACAAAGCAGCTGATTGGCGAACGCGGTAGGTAATCTTCCTCTTCCGGAAGACGGCCCACCGTGTTTTATTTGACCGGATAGCGGAGTTCTTCCAGAAGAAGTAACTTTGTTTTTTTCAATATCGCGGCCGCCTCCAATGCCGACCGATGGCATTCCGGAAGAGCAACACCACTTGGAAGATGCCCGGACCGGATTAGGAAGATATCTTCCGGAATAGGAAGATATCTTCCGGAATTGGAAGACATCTTCCGGAATTGGAAGACATCTTCCGGAAGAGGAAGATCATCGTCGTTGCAGTGTGGCACCTGAGTGAGAGAGGTCCCGCGATCGGTGGAGCTTCGGTGAATTCAAAATCGAATTTTAATCGATTCATGTCATTGACAAATAAAACAACAACAACCATGAGGGCGTGGGCCGCGTGTTTGACGCTGGCCGCCTTGTTCGTGGCTGCGTCGGCTGACGAGAAGGCGCTCACCGTGGAGTTCGATGTCAGGCCCGGCGGGATCGTGCACTCGTTCAAACAAGAGCTGGTGAGTGAAGGTTCATCTTGTTGGTTCTTTCGGTAAAGTTATAATAAAATAATATAATAAAATAATTCTCACAATAATAAAAATAAAACATAATAAATCATTCTTATGTTTTATTTTTATTATTTTATTACTTCCCTTCTACGTGACTTTACCGAAATAATCAAGAAGATGAATCCCTGCAGTCACAAAAGCTTTAAATCGAGAGTTAAGGTTTATTACATCGCAACTCCGTGCGATCTGTAAACCTTGTTACGTGTCAACAACTGCCGACCTCTTTACGTCCATCGCCTAAGAGGCAGTGGATGGACAGGATACAAATTGTCCCCCTGACGGTACTGGAAAGAGCATCGGAATATTTATACTGGCAGGAACCTCCTGGTTACACCAGCCCACAGGGGATTATTGTGTCCGTCCGTCGTGCATCCAAAAATGGGAGGGAGGGGCTGGGTGGGGAGGGGCTGGGTGGGGAGGGTGGGGAAGAAGGGGCTGGGTAGGGAGGGTAGGAGCTGGGTGGGGAGGGGCTGGGTGGGGAGGAAGGGGCTGGGTGGGGGGAGGGGCTGGGTGGGGGGAGGGGCTGGGTAGGGAGGCTAGGGGCTGGGTGGGGAGGGAGGGGCTGGGTGGGGAGGAAGGGGCTGGGTGGGGAGGGAGGGGCTGGGTGGGGAGGGAGGGGCTGGGTGGGGAGGGAGGGGCTGGGTGGGGAGGGTGGGGCTGGGTGGGGGGCGGGGCTGGGTGGGGGGCGGGGCTGGGTGGGGGGCGGGGCTGGGTGGGGAGGGGCTGGTCACCCCGTGGTGCCCTTATACAACTCAACGTTTAACCTACTCACGCCGGCTTGTGCCCGCCATCACAGTCGGGCATCTTTGCGGAACACACCACGCCGCCGTTGACCCTGCAGGCCATTGACCGAGCAACCCAACGTTCCTACCAGCTCCCTCTGCAGGACAATTTGTTTCTAGATCTATTATTTTTCCAGCTACGTGACTTTACCAAAAGACCCAAAGAGTATCTTAACACCTGTTTTATTGCCAGAATGGGTAAAACCTATTCTTATTTTTTTCATACTTTGATACTGGCATTCTAGCAAAAAAAAATTCCATTTAATAGCAGGCTTTGTGTGCCGGTGCTCTGGTCCAAATTTAACAAATTTGCGAGAAAAAACATTCTCGTGTTAAGAACTCAACGGGGTGAAAACTAGGCGGCAACACGGCCTCCTACTTGGCAGACTAATGGCATTTGCAGGCCGACACCGCGTACACCTTGCGCCACGTAGGGACAGCAGCCGCTGGGTGTTCCCCAGGCTATGCGAAGCGCAGTTCTAAATAAAATCTTTTAAATGTATGTATTTGTTGAACTTATTTCGCACCGTACGTAGCCAACAGTGCTAATCGGAGGTGCCATGTTGAGTCTATGGGTAGTGTTGAGTCTATGGGCAGTGTTGAGTCTATGGTGCAGTGTTGAGTCTATGTGCAATGTTGAGTCTATGTGCAGTGTTGAGTCTATGGGCAGTGTTGAGTCTATGGGTAGTGTTGAGTCTATGGGCAGTGTTGAATCTATGGGCAGTGTTGAGTCTATGGGCAGTGTTGAATCTATGGGCAGTGTTGAGTCTATGGTGCAGTGTTGAGTCTATGGGCAGTGTTGAGTCTATGGTGCAGTGTTGAGTCTATGGGCAGTGTTGAGTCTATGGGTAGTGTTGAGTCTATGGGCAGTGTTGAATCTATGGGCAGTGTTGAGTCTATGGGCAGTGTTGAATCTATGGGCAGTGTTGAGTCTATGGGCAGTGTTGAGTCTATGGGCAGTGTTGAGTCTATGGGCAGTGTTGAGTCTATGGGCAGTGTTCAGTCTATGGGGCAGTGTTGAGTCTATGGGTAGTGTTGAGTCTATGGGTAGTGTTGAGTCTATGGGTAGTGTTGAGTCTATGGGCAGTGTTGAGTCTATGGGCAGTGTTAAGTCTATGTGTAGTGTTGAGTCTATGGGCAGTGTTGAGTCTATGGGCAGTGTTGAGTCTATGGGCAGTGTTGAGTCTATGGGCAGTGTTGAGTCTATGGGCAGTGTTGAGTCTATGGGCAGTGTTGAGTCTATGGGGCAGTGTTGAGTCTATGGGTAGTGTTGAGTCTATGGGGCAGTGTTGAGTCTATGGGGCAGTGTTGAGTCTATGGGGCAGTGTTGAGTCTATGGGGTAGTGTTGAGTCTATGGGGTAGTGTTGAGTCTATGGGCAGTGTTGAGTCTATGGGCAGTGTTGAGTCTATGGGCAGTGTTGAATCTATGGGCAGTGTTGAGTCTATGGGGCAGTGTTAAGTCTATGTGTAGTGTTGAGTCTATGGGCAGTGTTGAGTCTATGGGTAGTGTTGAGTATGGGCAGTGTTGAATCTATGGGCAGTGTTGAGTCTATGGGCAGTGTTGAATCTATGGGCAGTGTTGAGTCTATGGGCAGTGTTGAATCTATGGGCAGTGTTGAGTCTATGGGGCAGTGTTAAGTCTATGTGTAGTGTTGAGTCTATGGGCAGTGTTGAGTCTATGGGTAGTGTTGAGTATGGGCAGTGTTGAATCTATGGGCAGTATGTATGAATGTTGAACGTGTATTGTGTTGTGCGTATCCAACCGTGCTAACCGGACGCTTCTTTGTGTTGACAGGGGAAGTTCGGCTGCACCTTCACCTACGCTGCACAGGGAGGGACAAACGAGGCAAGAGATTCCCCCCCCCTACCTTCCCTGACATCAACCAGAATCAACATGAGAATATCAATGTATCAGAATATCAATGTATCAGAATATCAATGTATCAGAATATCTATTTATACTGCAGGAGGAATCCACTGAGCTTCAAAGCTCTTTTTCACAGATGTCCGATCGTAGTGCGTGGTACAACCACAAACAAGAACACGACGGGAGTACAAAGTATAGGAACGGTAAACGAATCACTAAAAGATATGTACGAAACCTTCTGATACGGACACCCAGTCCAAGCGGGACTCAAACACAGGAACTGCCACAATACATTGTGCGATGATTATGATGACGATGTTGATTATGACGGTGGTGATGATTGTTTAATTTCTTGCAGCAATGGCTGATGAGTTTGGGGTCGAATGAGGATCAGTCACTTTTCTCCTGCTCCGTGTGGAGGTATGGAAACTATCCGTTCATTTCACTTTATTCGTTTTTACCGCCCTTTGTCTCAATCTTTGGCTGGGTGAAGGCCTCCTATGCGCTGCGTCAGTCGTCGGAGTTGTTTGACCTTAATTCACCGTGCTGGTCATTGCAGGTCGGCGAAGCGGGGCACCCAGGACCGGTTTAGATATCACTCGCCACTGATGATGTTACCCGCGGCTGGGAACCAGACCTGCATACCTGTCAACCTATACGGTTTACCCGTATTCTTACACAGGGAAATTGAGTTTTCAGGTTCAGACGACATACAAACGTTTCAATACGGGAAAAAAAACACGTCTTTGTTCGTGTGATGGAACTTTGTAGGATGAACGTTGAGATTTATGAGGGGCACGGGGTAGCCAATAAGGTGTCTGAATTGGTCTCTAATCACGTAGGTACTGACAAGGGGTTGACATGTATGGATATCGCCCGCCACTGGTGATGTTACCCACGTCACTGGCTCCATGGCGACGCCGTAATGGAGCGACGAAATGGGACACCTGGCGAAATCGCCGATCGGAGATTTTCTCCCATTACACGGTTGGGTGTGGCGTTGGCCGAAGGGGCGTTGTCTTTGCCCATAATATTTGTGGATCATGAATCGAGGTTCATCATCGTATCGATTGCGCTCGGTCGACCCGGCACCCAGCTCAAAGTTGATCGGGCAGCCATCTTGAAAATGTCGATCTATTGGCAATCCGATTCATTGGCAAGCGATACTCGGATCGACCAGTCGTGTGAAACACCCCCTTTATTTGATTGGCTAATATCAGCAAGGTCGGTGATTCTGTCACAGTCCGCTTTTATTGTAGCACGGTGCTGTGCAGCAGCCACTGAGCTGCCAATCCATTGGTGCAATTCAACATGGCTCTGTTATCACAACAACAACAACTTGACGTTCAACTTTCACAGCCTCAAATTGAACACGCACGCCCTGTCAGAGTCGACAGCGCTGCCTCGCAACAATCGGTCGGCACAGCCTTCAAAATCCCACCATCACCGGCAGTACCGGCAGCACCACGACTTGTATCTGACTTTAGGTCACCCCCCTTAGTCGCCAACCTGGGGGTGCCACGTGCATTACCAGTCTCGGTAACCTGCCCTCCACCACCCTGCACACGTGTCACACCCATCACAACCTCCTCTTCTGGAAGTATGTACGTTTGAACTTCTTTAGCGCACCGTAAGTAAGGCCAACTGCGCATGCGCGGGGGAAGGATGACAAACTAAACACAAAAAGCAGTTCTAAAGAAATTAGTTTTCGATCAAGGTCACATCTCCAGTGCTCTCCTGTCACATTCTATTTTGAATCTGTCTTCTATTCTGACTTGAAATTCCTACATTTATACACATCTATATACTCAAAGGCCAGCACCTTAATTCCTATTTGTTTAGTTATAATTCCAACTCTCTATCGGCCAGTCATTCTTAACCTGGGGTGCACTCACCCCCTGGGGATGAGAGATGCCCTTTCTGGGGTAGTACAGCTACTTTTCTCGTTAATCAAACCTATGTATTAATTAACATTGTTATTTTTTATGATTTAGAACCAAATGGGTGCATGCTGCAGTAAATGTTAAGAACCACTGCCTCTAAGCCCTAATAGTAACACACACACACACACATTCCTCCTGTCTCAAACACTCACTTCTTCACACCTAGGTTGACCTCTCTACCCTTATATTCTTTGTTCTTTCGGTAAAGTCACGTAGAAAGTTAATAATAAAAATATAAAACAATAAAAATTATCACGACGTTTCGACTGCAACACAGGCAATCATATTCTTAGGTTTTTTCGGTAAACTCACGTAGGTAAAAACATTAAAAAGTAAAATAAAATAAAAATCACGACGTTTCGGAGGCAACACAAGCTTCATCATCATCATCAGGTGTGAAATCCACAGCAAGAAAATTTGAAAAAAGTGGCGGTTCATTTCCCTGCTACGTGACTTTACCGAAAGAACCAATAATATGAATCCCTGCAGTCACGAAAGCTTTAAATCTCTCTACCCTTCTTAAAGTTTTACATGGGCCATTCTGGACCCACATTGGTGAATACAACTATCGTTTTCCGTTATAGTGTTGTTGGCGATGCTGACGTGCTGTTATTGGTGTGTGAAATTTGAAATATGACTTAGAAAAATCACGTGTGCTTTTAAAAATGGTACAGCCTTCTTCAGTTCACCGGCTTGCGCAGTCAGTTGAGATGCCTGTGCGTCTTGTCACCAATGTGTCGAGACAAATTCTTTCCGCCCTTTCGTTTCAGGCCAAACGGAAAGTCATATCTGTTCTTCGTTCAGTTCAACACTGAGATTTCTGGAGCCAAAGTGGAGTTCGCGGAAGCCTTTGTGAGTTTTGGAGTCTGGGTTTTTTGTAGTTCATTGTTATATGCAGTTTAACAACCGTTACGTCAGGAAGGAGGATGTTGCCATGGGGTTGTCACAGTGGCGAGATGTTAACTACCTCGCCCTGTATGCAGGAGGGTCGTGGGTTTGATTCCGACCCTGACGCCGATTAATTTGGAGTTTGCGTGTCTATCTCCCCGTGGTCGGGTGGATTTTTCTCCGGGTACTCTGGGTTTTTCCTCCCCGTTTAGAATCAACATGTGTTTTAAGTATTCTTAGGTTTTTTCGGTAAAGTCACCTGAAGTCGGAAGCTTGTGTTGCCTCCGAAACGTCGTGATTTTTATCTTATTTTACTTTTATTAATTTTAATGTTTTACCTACGTGACTTTACCGAAAAAACCTAAGAATATGAATCCTTGCAGTCACGAAAGCTTCAAATCTAGAATAAATGTGTTTTAAGTATTGGCTGCTCTATATTTCCACGTGATACGGCTATTAGCTTCTTTTTCAGAAGCGACCTGGCCATAAATGACAGCTCAACGAAGTGGCTTATCATGTGGAAATTTATCGCAGCAAAATTATCTAAATAATTTAGACTGATCCTTAAACCTGGACTCTTGGACCAGTGTCATGCTAGACGATCCTAAAACCCTGTTTCTGTTAACATTCTGTAAAAGAACACTGGCACCAAAAATGTAGTGTTTGAAATTTTAAAATGTCACGTTTGTGTTTCAGTCGCAGGCAGCTACAATTAACCTGAAGGACATCGCTTTGAAGCCAAGTGAAATTGTGGTTGGCGAACACACAGGTGATATATTGTAGATTTTGGTTTTATACTCTTGTTTTGTTACACGCTGAAGATGCTGCTGCCCCGATTGTGGAGCGAAATGTCAGGCATTATTGTCCAATAACACGCGGTGCGACCCCAAAAGCACATCATAGAGTTACAGAAAATCATTACTTTTGTGGTGTGGGGTTGGTGCATAACAATAACAGTCCTTTATAAAAAGTTCAAGTCAAGTCTATACACGTCCCCACTCGAAATGAGTGTTGGGCAGGGATCATCTCGGTTAGTGGCCCTGAGTCGGGAGTGGAAATTCCACATTCTTATGGCAGTGGCCAGTTTATCTGTCGGACAACCACTGTCAACATCCACCTCATTGGTGTTTATTTTTATATCAACCCCTGAGAGATGAAGATGATGGGATGAAGATGATGGGCTGAGGTGACCCCCAAATGACTGGATCCCGTTATTTGAAGCCCTCTATCCTTTAAAGACCATAGCACCCAATAACACATTGGCCAAACAAACATTTTGTTCTCCGTAATAGTTTTTGTTTGGGTTAGATCGCGTAAATATATGTGTTGTCGTCACTGTGAGCCAATCAAAATTACAATGGATATTTAATAGTTGGGTTATTGATAGCTAGTTAATCAACATCGACTTCAAATTTACCCCCCTCTATTCAAGACCCAAACAGGAGGATTTTTCCACAATTCTGGCTGTCGCCTAATGAAGATAGTTGTAATTACCGGCGAAACGTCATACTCAAATTGTAAATGTTGTGGGTTTACTCTCCAACACACCGGTGTGCTGAACTCGTAACTAATTGGCAAGTTTTATTTACGTGACAAACCTCACTTCTTGACTATGTCGGGTGGTGGCGGGTTTAACGAAACATTTTACACGATCTCACCCAAAAAAAAACTATCATAATATTGGTCGCGAAAGCCTGTGTGTGAAAGTTTGTTCTCCGCTTTTATCTATGTATGTTGAACTTATTCTTGGTTCTTTCGGTAAAGTCACGTAGAAGGGAAATAATAAAATAATAAAAAATATAAAACAAAAAAATTCGACTGCAACACAATCATCATCAGGTGTGAAATACAGCAAGAAAATAAAAAAGTGGCGTTTTTTTCAAATTTGCTTGCTGTGGATTTCACACCTGATGATGATTGCTTGTGTTGCAGTCGAAACGTCGTGAGAATTTTTATTGTTTTATATAATTATTTTATTATTTCCCTTCTATGTGACTTTACCAAAAGAACCAAGAATATAATCAATCTTGATAATAGATTATAATGCCAGCTGAAAATGTTCCTTCTGTTTTTGCAGTGAGCCACAACCCGGGCCAGTTTGGATCGCAGCTTTCCAAGCTCATGATCGTGTCGAGGAAACCTCACGAGGAGCTGTGATCGCCTCTCTCACTCTGTCTCTCTCCGCCACACAACTCTCCCATTATTTATCCACGTCTCATTTTCTCTCGACACACCACACCACTTTCACACACTCTTCTCTGCATCCCACACTTCTAGTCTCTCTCCATTTCCCCGTCTCTCTACTTCTTCCTCCCTGGCATCTCACTCCTCTGCACTTCACACAACTCTCACGGCTGTCAATGGAGACACACAACTGCTGGGATTTGGACTCATTTTAACATGAGCCAGTGGTAGCTCTGTGGCTGAAAAGGCCGTTGCAGTAGCACCGAGCTAGAACCTCTTGACACTTTGAGTTTCAATGAATCCTTGCGGGGGCTGGGCGTTTTGTGTCGAAGGTTCGTCATCGCTGCGTCGCAGACACTGAACCAGCACTGCTGAGATCCGAGGTTTGATCCCTTGGGTTGGATGTCTCAAGGGGCTCATGATGGCCGTGGCAGACTCTTGAGCCAGCACTGCGAAGATGAAGCCCTTGTGCTGGGTATATCTGGCTCTGTCAAAGCACCGTGTTGGAGTAATTGAACAAACACTGGGGACGTCATGAGCCAAGTTTTCGGGGTGGGGTTCTCACTTTCGTATTAGGAGGGTGACGATGGCTGTGTCGGACACTAAGGAAGTGCTTCAGAGATCATGGGGTTGGTTATTCTACTGTTTCCTTACAATGGGGGTTCTTCATGGCCATGTCTGGAACATTGATCCAGCAGTGCAGAGATCTTGAGTTTAAATCCAGGCACCTACCCTGTGATTAAACTGGGTTCTCAAGCATTACGAATTCGATGTCTCAGCCCGGTCACCAATCACTGCTCACAATTGAAATCAATGAAATGAGCTTACCATTTGAGCATAGCTCAGCTCTGAGGTTATACAACTGTACGATACTTTTTCGTATAAAATCACAGAAAACTAGGCCAGTCACCCATCTGCACAGCTGAACTGAATGCCGTATTTGCTGTGGTAAAATTGGCCCTTTTGGAGGACATGGAGCCGTTAAACACTGTGGTTTTGCTGTAATGTGGTGGAGATTGGAATGGATTGAACATTCCTTTGGGTATATAAAGGTTAAAATTTAAAAGAAGCAAACTGGAAAACATTTCCACTCAATAAAAAAATGGTTTTGTTACTTTAAACCCGTGAATGTGCTTATTGTACACACACAAACACAAGCGATGACCGGCTCAAATGCGCATTGAGGCAAGTGGATGTATTTGCCATCTGTTTCCATCTGTACGGGGATATAGTGTTGCCCCCTCACGCAAGACGTGGGTTTTCTCCACCCACTTGTATCATAAACACTCATCAATTGGCTGAAAACAATTTAACATAAAACCCAAATGTAGCACTCCTCAAAAAGAGCCCTACGACTCAACGAAACACGACGGCCGTCTGGACTGCACATCGAGCTTCAATTACATTGAGTCATTCAATTTGCAGATTGCATTACAAGCAGTCCTCGACTTGCAAACACCCACACGGACACCCGCACTTGCGATCCCCCGCGAGAGATGTAACGAGTCGGCTTTGCGCTGTGACGATTATCTGAATGGGTCCTGGGCCTCCCCCTAGGTCGACTCAGCCTCAAATGAGTACCTGATGCGGTGTGTAAACATTGCCACCGGGGAGACGAAGGCGGCTGGACGTGGCGTTGGCCACCCACCCCCTCGTGTGCCGTGCCGGCCTTGATCGATGCTGCTCTAACAGCACTTGTGCCAACAGTCTGTGTGTCTATACTCGGGATCATTGGAGTGTGTCTTTGTGTGTCTGTGTGTGTGTGTTGTTTTTGTGTCTGTGTGTGTCTGTGTGTGTGTTTTTGTGTCTTTGTGTGTGTCTTTGTGTTGTCTTTGTGTGTGTGTGTCTTTGTGTGTGTTCTCTGTGTGTGTGTCTGTGTGTGATTATCTGAACCGGTCCCGGGCCTCCCTTAGGTCGACTCAGCCTCAAATGAGTACCTGGTGCGGTGTGTAAACATTGCCACTAGGGAGACAAAGGCGGTCGGGCGTGGTGCTGGCCACCCACCCCCTCGTGTACCGTTCCGGCCTTCATAGGTGCTCGCTAACAGCACTTGCCCCTACAGTCTGTTAAGGCTACACGGGGGATCTTTGTCTGTGTGTGTTGTCTGTGTGTGTGTGTCTTTGTGTGTGTTGTCTGTGTGTGTGTCTTTGTGTGTGTTTTCTTTGTGTGTGTGTGTTTGTGTGTGTGTTTGTCTTTGTGTGTGTCTGTGTGTGTGTGTCTTTGTGTTTGTTGTCTGTGTGTGTGTCTTTGTGTGTGTGTCTGTGTGTGTGTTGTCTGTGTGTGTCTTTGTGTGTGTTGTCTGTGTGTGTCTTTGTGTGTCTGTGTGTGTGTCTTTGTGTGTGTTGTTTTTGTGTGTGTCTTTGTGTGTCTTTTTGTGTGTGTGTCTTTGTGTGTCTTTGTGTGTGTGTGTCTTTGTTTGTGTTGTCTTTGTGTGTGTTGTTTTTGTGTGTGTCTGTGTGTGTCTGTGTGTGTGTAATTGTGGTTGCTCACTGCCCCCTGCCGACAAGCAAGCCGGCGGCAGGACTCAAGTGAAAATAAAACCGATTTTTATATTCATGTTAATTTATTTTATGTTCTATTGACTATACGGTATTTTTTTTTTACCAGTGTTACATGCAAATGTACAATATTTCTTCTGAGTTTAACAAAGCTTCCCTGTTTAATTGGACTGTAACACATTTCATAACACTGACCGTATGGGCATTTAAAAACGGTACGTGACTGTTTAACACGTCGGCTTTCGCGATCAATATCCATATTAGAGATGTTGACCACCCAAAAAGAGCAGAACCATGCATTGTACTTTATGCATGGTGTGCATGCATAATGTATGTTGATTAACCGATGAATAACCCAACGGGATCACCATTGTAATATAGGCATAGATCAACCCTAGATTTGAAGCTTTCGTGACTGCAAGGATTCATACTCTTAGTTATTTCGGTAAAGTCACGTAGGTAAAAAATGAAATGAAAATTTTTTTTAATTTTATTTTTTACCTACGTGACTTTTTTTATTTTAATTTCATGTTTTACCTACGTGACTTTTTTTTAATTTAAATTTCATGTTTTACCTACGTGACTTTACCGAAAGAACTAAGAGTATAGATCACCCCCCCCCCCCCACTCTGACCTTCGCATCTGATTGACTCACCAGTCTCGGCATCACGTGTGCCCCCTCTCGCTCCACAACTCTCTGGCTGTCGCCTGATGATGCTGGCTGCTGCTGCTGCTGTCGTCGTAATTACCGGCGAAACGCCACGGCACTTGAATTGTAAACGTTGTAGTTGGGGTTTAACTCTCCAACACACAGCCGGTGTGTGTCCTGAACTAGTAACGAATTGACACGTTTTATTTACGTGACAACACTTTGCTTAATTGGCCGTGTCGGGTGGTGGCGGGTTTAACGACACGGTTATATTTACTCCATTTAACCCATCCAAACCCTCTATTGTGCAGTACATGGCTCGAAATTCCCGACTTTATAAACCGTTCGACTTACGAACGAATCGCGTTCGTAACTCGAGGAGTCGCTCCCCGTCCTACGCGGAATTTGAAATTGCGCGATGACGTCACCGAATTTAAATCGCCGTCGCAACGAGAGGCGTGCGCACATGACGTCACCAGAGTTCACGCCTACGAACACAGCTTTTTAGTTTTTTGACGTCATCGTTTTAACGTGACGTACGTGAGAGGGGGCGTGGTTTACGTCGCCCAGCAGCTGTCCGCGCGCCCGGCTATAAAAGGGGGAGCGCCATGAGCACTCGTGTTGGCGTCTTCCCCGGGGCGTCCGCGTCGCTTGCGTTGGTGGTGATCCCCAGGATGGCGACGCCGCTGTCTCGCTGAGCTTCCGTCTTTCTCCCCCCCCCCTGCCGCCGCCGCCCTCGCCTCGGTCTCCCCTCACCACGCGCTGCTGCCGCTGCGGGGACTCCGCCGCTTCCGAGCGTTCCTCGGGTAGGCCTCGGCCAGACCACGGTGTTGCCTAGTTTCCCTGCCCGGTGAGGTAGGCGATCGTCGGTGCCGTTCGAGAGGCCCGGGGTACCCCCCAACCTTCATTCGCTCGCCGGGCGATGTTGAAAGTCTTTGACTAAAATGAGCGGTGGCGCAGTGGTTGGCGCATTGCGCCGTAGAGCCCGGCTCGCCTGAGTTCGATTCCCGGCCACGGCTAACATCGGCGGCGGCGAGTGGTGTGTGAACTCGGCTCGCCTCTCTTGACCAAATCGTGAGGTGAAGTATGGACACCCGTCCATCAGCGCGTTGTCAGAGGGCTGCAAGCAAAATCTACGTGGCTCTGTGTCTCCCTGTGCTGGCTCGACTCGAGTCGGAATACTCGGGGAAAATTAGAATAGTTGCGGGGTGGTGGTGGGGCGTTAGGGGAGTTTAAAACGACTTAAAAGTGGAGCGTCCGGCAGCCTCACGCCATCCTAGCGGTGTCCATCGAGTTCCAATTCAATTTCGTCCGTGACAATTGGTAACACCGATCGATGACGATGGGAGGAGAGCGCATGGGGGGGGGGGTAGGAATCCGTTAAGTTTGCACAGGTGGCTTGATCGTGCGATGATCATATGGGATGCGCGTCTGGTGAGGCATCTTTCTCCCCCGCCCGCTTTAACCAGCAGTCGATTGACCATGGCTGGTGATTGACATGACCGAAACGCCTTAATGGTTCGTGTGATCCGTGCCTTTTTAAAGTGTCCTCCTCGTCCCCCCCTATCTTTCTTTATTTCTGAACGCTCTCCATCGGAGTTGAGGTCATCCGTTGGCTGTGGGTGTTGGTGTCGTCTGCCGCGTCCTCCGTCTAACCGTGATGAGTGGGCTACGTGATGTGACCGGCGGACAGACAGAGCCATGTGGTTGTTAAACACTCGGGTAGCTGCAAGGCGCTGCGGCGTTTGTGCTTTTTATTTTAATGTTGTTTACATTCTGTAGTCTGTAATTTATATTTCTATAAACGGTTACTTGGCACGGGCACCAATACTTCAAACGGCTTGCGACAAACAACACTGTCAGGAGTTTTAATAATATAACTACTTTTGTTTGTAGTTGTACCTCCCCCGGCACCTGCGATGAGCACGGTTGGCTACGTACGGTGTGAAAGAAGTTCAACATGCAGTACGAGAACGACGTGGCACTGGATGCGCTCCTGTGCGGCCGTCTGGAACGCTCTCCCCTCCGATATTAGGAAGCCACTGGGGGCCATGATGCACCTTTTAAATCGTTTAGATTCACAAACTCCGTTGTTTTAGAAACTGCTTTGTGTGGTTTAGTCCCCCCCCCCCCCCCGCATCTCCGATTAGCGTACGGTGCGAAAGAAGTCCAATATTACATTACGTGCAAAGAGTCATAACACGGTTCTTGACCAACGCCTGGATATTTGCATCCCCCCATGGGCGATCGCCATACGGAGCGGGTTTGTTTTTAGTTTGTAGGCCGCTACAATGCCACACAATGGGCAAGCGATCTCTGGCCGGCACCGCAAAACCCATGGTCGAAGTGCAGCTCTGTGCTCGCCTTCGACTCGCACTGGCGAGCATGGGGATGCCATCGTCTAGCAGTGGATTGACAAAGAGTTTGGTGTGGCGTGTATCTGCGCAAATGTTTCAGTGGGGATCGTAGCGGTGAGCGTATTCGCGGCCACCAACACCAATGACTATTCTTTGAACCGGTCCTGAGCCCCTCCCCTAGGTCGACTCGGCCACAAGGGAGTACCCGGTGCGCTGTGTAAACATCGCCACCGGGGATTCTACCTCGTGTGGCGTGCCGGCCTTCATAAGGATACACGGGGATCTTTGTCGCGCAATGCTTTAGGAGCAAACACAAGAAGGTAAGTGGGCTTGGGCAGGACACGTCGGGGGGGGGGGGGGGGGGGTGAGTGCTGGTTGACGAGATCGACAATGGAATGACGGCCAAAGTGGAGAATTCACCCCAGGGGGTTGTGAAGATGTCGCGATTGAAGTCGTCTCGTGTGTCGGTGCAGGGTAGGCCTTTGTACAGCAGTGGATTGAGCATGGTTGGCGATGAGTTTGTTTTTTAGTACCTTAGTTACAAAGACAAAGATTCTCCCATGTGGCCTGAGGGAGCAAGTGCTGTTAGCGAGCACCTATGAAGGCTGGCACTGCTCACAAAGGGGTGAGTGGCCAACGCCACGTCCGGCCGCCTTGGTCTCCCAAGTGGTGATGTTTTTCACACTGCACCAGGTATTTATTTAAGGCCGAGCCGACCTAGGGGGAGGCCCAGGACCGATTCGGATAATCGTCGCTAGTTTTGGCCGTGAGCATGAATCTAACTCGGGTATGGCAGGTTCTTAGTGCAGTGTGCTAACCGCTACACGACACTCTTGTCTTAGTTACACACATGTAGAGACATACCTGAGAGAGCCCTGGGAGATCAAAGGTATTTTTCAAGGGAGATCTGGGTTGTAAAGCAAAGAATGTGCTTGGCGCACACATTTCTTCGCACAACATCGAGCAATGCGGTTTATAACTGCAACAAAAAATGAGGTGAGGAGTTGTGTGGTTAACCGTGGAAAGCCGTGGTCTCAAAAGCTCATGTTCATGAGGTTCCATCATTGGAAATACAATCTCTTCTTTGGCCTTTGAGCCATTGGGACAATTTTGGGTTGTTAGTACCACGCAGGATGCCAAATTATACTTATTTGCCTAGATCCTACTATCTCTAGATTAGAAATGTACATGATAGCAAGGTCACCGTGGTAGCGTTTAATGAGAAAATATAAAGGCGGGTGCCTTTTTAGTATGTTCGTTTGACAGATAATATATTTTCGGGGGGAGGAAAGAACGACTTTGATATGAAACGTCTGCAGAATGCGAACCCTTGGAAGTTGTCTATAAAACAGATGGTGTGTAGACTGATGTATTCCCATGGTGGGACACGGTCCTTGGTAGGCCCCCCCACTGCCTGCGGTGCAGACTGGCAGCGTTTTCCACCCTCGGTGGTACCCACAAACCCCTTGGTGCATGGGCTAATTGAGGTCGTTTTGAATATGGGAGGAAAGCGCGAATACCTGAAGAAAAACCCACCAACACACGAGGAGACGACGCTCGGGCTCACGTGTGTATAGGTGTGCCGCGATTTTGCGAACGTTCGGTTTTTACGAAATTGCACGTAAACGCACATTGACGAATTCTGGACACTTTTTTAGATTTTTAACGAAATCGAATTTCCACGTTTACGAAATTTCGCGCACTGCACGCGCCGTGAGGTCGTCGGACACGGAGCAACCTGGGAGGCAAAATTTTCTGATTCTGATCCGCTGGTTATAGGGGAGTTTTTTTCAGTTTAGGAGCAGAGCGTGAATGACTGCTCAACGCATCCATAATTTTTTTTGTATCAAATTAACGGGAAAAGCCATTCCGATTTACGAAATTTCGTTTTACGGGTGGTTTTTTGATGAACGCATCCCTTTCACAAATCGAGGGATCTCCTTGTAAAGCAAGAACTGCTTTTTGTGTTTCGTTTGTTTTTGACCCGCACTTCCGATTAGCACCGTTGGCAACGTAAGTTGCCAAAAAAGTTCAACATATATTCCTACATCACTGTCGCCTCCGATTCGCATGGTCAGCTACGCACGGTGCGAAACAAGTCCAACATACCCACGTGCCTGCTGTCAACCTCAGTGCTGCACTGCCTCATGAGCCACCACCACCTCACAGGTGCTTCCACCCTTCTGTGGTGATTCAACCCCGCCGCTTAAGTGCTTAAGTCACCGCCGGTCTTGCTGCGATGTCATCTTTCGCCATATGGTATCAAATTTCCACGACAATGACGCGACTACAAATTCCCTTGAAGTTGTAATTGCAGCTCGCATTTGTATGTCCTTGTTTTTGTTCCTTGCTCTGCTTTCCGTCTGAAACGAGGTTTTACTGACCGCTGCGTTTCACTCGGCATGAGCACCCCTTGAGTCGTCTCGCCGTTGCAGCTTTTCAGTCCTGTGATGCTGAGACCGTTGTTCTTGTTGGTTTTGAGCCAATGGTGGAAATTCGACATTCCTGTGACAGGGACCCATCTCTCTTCCATACGCTGACAATTGTTGACTCCCCACAGGAGGACTCGTTTTTAATGATTCCATAGAGACGATGATCACGATCGGTCCAGTTGGTATTGAAACGCTCCAACGACCGTTTTGTGATCCGCATGCTTTTCCCACAGAGCCTCCATTGTCAATAATAAATAAAAGACTTGTTGAAGAGATGTGTACAAAAAAAGTGCTCTGTACGGCAGCCATAAAGATTTAAGTGCTTTACGCGTCAACAGTTTTTTTGTAATGGTTGTGGTTTCTGAAAAGGCACATGTTGACCTGTGCTTATCAGCTGCGGGAGGTCAGGTCGGTTCCTCCAATAGAATGTGTTTTTTTTTTCCAGCTATAATGATTGCTTAAGTTTCGCAAGGTCATTGCTTCACATTATCTCTGTTGTTCCTCCTTGGCCTATACAAATACGGGCAGTTTAACTGGGTAAATACATGAATTGCGTTGTGATAATGCTGTTGGCAGTGTTGAGACCACTTTGAATTTTGAGCATCTTTGAATACCCAATAGTGAAGATATTGCTGCAATGGGTTGCTAAGACGAGTTCCCAACGACACCAACAGCAGACTTTGCACTTATTTAAGATTGTGGATCTGGTGGAATTTTTTTGGCAGCTGGTGAAATTGTTCAACAATGGTAAAGTTATTATCGACTTTGGAGGGCTTCTGGTGGGGTATTAATCCCTCACCAGTTCCCGATTGAAATCGCGGGTTATAATTAAATTGCCTCTCTGGCCTCTGCTGTGCAGAAGGACCATTGTCCCAAAACCTCGCTTATTAAATGTTATTTTTCCGTGTTTATTGACGAATGTGAAAAAGAAATCCCCCTTAAACAAAAGGGCACTTTATCAACACCGAATTAATCCCATTTTCCCAAGTGTTTAATACAACATTGCCTCTACGCTAGATATTAACGGGGACATTTTAAGGCGTCTAACCAATTGCATGCCCATTTTGTGGTTTACAAAAAAAATCTGCTCTTGGTACATGCCGCATAATGCGTGGCACGAGAGAATGTGGCGATCCGTGCGAGGTTCCTTGTGTTGGCTCCCATCAGCGGTGTGCGATTGTCGTCTGAACCACCAGCATTGGAAGTGTGATCCACGAGCAACGAGGCTTGTTGGGGTAAGCCTGGCAAAGCCGGTTTTAGCAGTGCACTGAGAGTGGATGGAAACTTATGGCTGTGTAGGTTTTCACGGACACGCTGTGTCGCTGTCCCGCGCTTTGTTTCGTTTGTACCCGGTGTTGTTCCGCACGATCTCTAATGGTTTTGTCCCAACGCGTGGCAACAACCTAAAAATACATCGGCGAGAATGCTTTATTTTTTATCCCACTCTATCGCCGATTATGACCAGCGATTTATGCAAGTGAATTCCCAATAATCCGCGTTGCTATTCGACCATATCATCGCGGATCATGTAATCCATGGCGCACGTACGTATCTACACGTACGTACGTACGTACATACAATCTGAGGCTCGTCGCAGAGTTTCTGTAATCGGCTGGAAAAATTGTTGTGCCGACACCACGGTCTGCCGCAGATTGCGAGGAGAAATTGGCCGCGCGATTCGATTCATCCGACTCAGCATTAGAACGCTCTCCCACCTCTCATTGCGAGCCGCTCACTGTACCGGAGAGCAACCAGGCCAGATTATAGAATTAATAATGCCGCATAGTTACAGCCAGCTGTTCTGAATGTGTCGTGTCGTTCTAATATATTAGGCAAAGGTGGCATCGGTCTGGCGATTGTCAAACACATGGTTGTGTCCTTACATCACCCCATGCAAAAATAAATGTCCCATGTTGTATTACGACGTTGCCGTAGTTTTTTTTCGCTTTTGCTGTTTTGGTGACCCAGGGTCTCTCCTTGCAAAATAAGACTCCATCCCCTGGGTCTCTCTTGACCACTACTCACCACCTGGTTAAACAAAAAAATGCGGCCTGGTGGCTTGAGCGTTCAAGCTCGCGGCTGTCATTTCGATGAGCGTGTGGGACGCACGGTGGCAAAGAGGTTGTTAACTATCTCCCCTGGTACACAGGAGGTCGTGGTTACGATCCAGACCCTGATGCATGCTGTATATTTGGAGTTTTTGCATGTTCTCTCCCTGTGGTCGCGTGGATTTTTCTCCCCTCTGCTGCTATAAATTTCCACCTCGTTGAGCTATCATTCGTCACCAGATCTATTCTGAAAAAGAGCTATATTGCTCAGTGGGCCTTACCTGCTAAAATTAAGTTATTTTTAGTTGTATAGTCCTCTTCATCTGAAAGTCGGTCTGATTTGTGCTTTGAATACCTTTTGCTAGTGCTCTATACTTGGCCCCAGTCAGGGAATTGTGGAGTGCACCACTGGGCACTGGGTTATCAATAGAACCGAGCCATAGCCTAAGCAAAAAACAAAAACAATCTCCCGTGTTTGTGTTTTATGCGCACAGACGGCCAAGAGGAGGAAGGAGGGGCGAGCGCTTGAGGAGGGAGAGGAGGAAGGGAAGCTCACGAGGCCGTGATGCGGCCGACGTTGGCCCTGCTGGCGTGCGCCGCGTGGCTGGTGGCGTGCGGCGTGCGTGGCCAGCCGAGGGACGTGTACACGCACACGTGGGCCGTGCTCGTGCCGGGCGGCGCGGCCGCGGCCGACGACGTGGCGGGGAGACACGGCTTCACCAACCTGGGGCAGGTGAGTGAGCAGCACGCAACCCACGCGCGGTTATTGTCTAGAGAATCGCTACGGTGAAGAGGATGTTGCCTCCGTCGCCCGGTATGCAGGAGGTCGTCGGTTCGACCCCCGACGATTTCTGTTGTATATTTGGAGTTTGTGTTTTACTCTTTCCCCGTGGTCACGTGGGTTTTTCTCTCCACCATTTGGCTGCTGTAATATTCCATGTGGTGACCCACTTCGTTGACCTATCAATTGTGGCCAGGTCTGCATGGCTCGGTGGGCCTTACCTGGTGAAATAAAAAAAATTGTTTAGTTTGAATTTGTTTTTATAGTCGGTCTGACAAGGACAGATCCGAAAAGTGGAAAAACTCCGTGTTAATGTGGGGAGCGGTGATGTGGCCTCGGGTTGGGGGGGGGGCATGTTCGTCACTTGTTGCAGAGGGCTCAGATTCCAAACCAACAGGCCACCCTGGTTATTACTGCAAAGGGGGGCGGTGTTATACCGTAATCTCCGATGCGCCATTGGCTTCATGGTTGATGTTAATGATCTCCCCCCCACCCCCACACATCATTCGAAATGAGAAGACCAGGCTGTTGAGTGCTGGCATCACGCTCCAAATTTGCCAGTCGAAAAATTACACTTAAATTACTCGAATTTTTGGATTGCACACGGCAGCAGCAGCAATCATCCACCCCTCACTTGCGTACTGATGCCCAATTACATCAATGGGATGCCTTTTTTTGGCAGAGTAAAAAATGATGAAAAATTTAAGAATAGGTTTTCACCCTTGCTGCCAATATTACAGGAGTTGTGTTAAGATGTTCAAACTCCAAATAGATTCCTTTTTGCAAGTCTGCATTAACCACACACGGTACTTGTGAAATAAGTAACATTTTTTTTTTACTTTTTAAAAAACACGCTTTAATGAAATGTAACGTACGAGTAATGGAAGAACTCCACGACTCCAGGAAGTGGCCCCGAGGCTTGCCGTGACGCAAGGGACCACGTGGTGATTTACAGGAAACATGAGTTGAGCGTGGACAATTAGAGCCGTTAAAAAGATTGTTTAAAATATTTATTTTTTATTTTAATGATAGAATATAGTATTGTCATCAGTATGACATACCTATACCAAGTTTGCAGTCGTTACGACATTGGAAATACGGTTGAAATTGAGTTGCAATATTTTTGGATACGACAACACACACAGTAAGTTAAATAAAAGCGTGTAAAATGTTACAAAATATATGTTTTGGATTTTTTATGATAGAATATCGTGTTGTCATCAGTTTTACATAGCTATTTAAAATTTGCAGTCGATAGCACATTGGGAAGTGTGTAAAAATTGAGTTACAATATTTCATTTTCGAGGATACAACAGACGAAGTGAGTTAAATAAAAGCGTGTAATAATTAGGATAGGTTTGACCCCTTTCTGGCAATGAAACGAGGCGATAAGATTTTGATACGCCAAATAAGACGTGCTCTCTGGTTCTTTCGGTAAAGTCACGGAGATAGAAAAAACAATCAAATCTACTCACGTCACTTTACCAAAAGAGCCAGAGAGTATGGATTCCTGCAGTCACGAAAGCTTCAAATCAAGATCAAATAAGATGTATTTTTTTAAAGGCATCGTCAAGTTTGCGTTAACCAACATGTACTTGTGACAAAAAAAACATGCAAACGAATGTCCAATTGCAGGCCAGGTGCACTGTCTCCTCTTGCCACACAGGGACAGCTGCCCCTGGGGGTGCCCTTTTCAAGTGTGGCGAGATGCGATGTAAAGCGCTGTCTCTCTCATGGGGTGTAAATAATCTGAATTAGAATCGTTGTTTCAGACTTGATGAATCTGTTGAGCTTATGGAGCTCTTTCTCACAGGTGTGTCCAGTAGGGGCGCGGGGTCGGAAAGTTGCAACAACAAACAATACAAAAACACGATAGGAGTGCAAAGTGTAGGAAAGGTAGGACGATCACAAATGTTTTATCTAAAACTCAACTCTCTTTATTTTTCCAGGTAAAGCCCACTGAGCTATTAGATAATTACGTGGAAATTTATAGCAGCTTAAGGGCATGCTATCACCAACAAAGAATTATTCACTTTTTTATTATAGTCCTAAGTCAAAAGTCGTGGTGCAATGGGTTAGCACCCTGAACTTGCAATCCAGAGGTTTGTAGCAGCGGTGCTCCTTAACCCCCTTGTCACCGCTCTCCCACACTTCTATTCTGGCGTACGGCATCAATATGTTCATGAGTGAGATGCCGATGTCCTCCTGCTAGCCATGATGAGAGCGCTTCGGCAGAGAGAGAGTTCGTGCCGATTTGCTGAGCGCAGACCAGTGGGTTTACTGTGCGGTCCATAGACTAACATTGCCCATAGACTAACATTTGCCATAGACTAAAATTGCTCAATGAATATTCTATTATTGAGTGGTAATATGTCGAGGAGTTAGATGCCAATGTGGAGGTCCTGCTGCTGCTACAACGAGAGCGCTTCGGCAGAGAGAGAAAGAGAGTTCGTGTCGATTCGCAGTTCCTCCCTTGAAGGAGCGGTGACCCACAGTGCGTTTACTGTGCAGTCCGCAGTTTGGGTTGCACTGCCACAATCGCACCACTGTGGCTCGCGTTTCATTTTCTTTTCGTAGGGGAGATGTGCGCGTTGGCCTGTTGATGTTCGGATGGCGCGGTTGACGGCTCCCCACTGACACCACCTCCACACGTTCTCTCCTTTTCTCGCACGCTCACTGACGCATGCTGTTTCATATTTGAAAGCGGCATTGAAGCCCCGTCGTGTTTTCATTCCATGACATCTCGCCGCTAAGCTGAAAGGCTTTCTGTGCGGATTACTCGACCGTTAATATATTTTAAAATAATCTGAATCGTTCATCTGTTTTGCGAGGGAGGGAGGGAGCAGCGCTCGTCTGCTCCTGCTGGCCCTGCCGTGATCATAAATCCCTTGCCGTGCGTTTTACGAGTGACCATGCTTCTCCGGGAAGTGGCGGTTGTTGTGGAGGCAAGCCCGATGGTTGGTGGTGCGGTGGTTTGGTGGTTTGGTATGCGGTTATTGCTGGGGTGGTCGGGTCAACTTGTGACCACTGCTCCGTTTCCTCCACTGAAGTGTGCAATATGTGCAGTCTTTGTTCTGGGATCCCGCGTGCCCCTCGCATTATTTAGATTATTTTGGCTGCTATAAATTTCCAAATGATCGCCCACTTTGTTGAGCTATCATTTGCAGCCAAGTAGCTTTTGACAAGTAAGTTAATGCCTTGGTTGGGCTCTGCCTGGTTAGGATAGTTTAGTTTTATTTGTTTAGTTTTTTGGGTGATTTGTTACCTTTCTTGTACTTTATACTACTGTACCATCGTTTGGTTTTTGTGCTGTTATTTGTTGCAACATTCTTTCCCATCCCCTACTGGCCATCTGTGAAAAATAGCTTTATAGCTCATCGGATTCCTCCAGTATAAATATTCATATTCTGCATCGGCATAAAAAAACTCCCGCATACATGTGTAGCGAGTCCAACTGGGTTGCAGACGCTGTCTTGGGTAAACACTATTTATTCAGTAAATCAACACAACACAACCTACACTTGGGTGTTGAACGCCCATCTAGCCACGCCACGGCAGAACTAGACACTGTTCGCTATCCCGGCCCGGACCACGAGCTGGGTCCCGGACCGCGTGGCTAGAGGCTTCTTTTACCCAACGTGGATCTTCATCACCAGCAACACGAAGAACCCCAAGCCCCTCACGCCCCCCCCCCCCCCCCCCCCGTTATATCGGCCCGGGCTGGGGCTGGCTCCGCCCCTCGCCCCGCCCACCTTCTAGATCTCTCTGGCTCTTTCCCGAAGGCTCCCCGAGAGCTCTTTTAGACCATGTGACCACCCAGCGGCCCCCGTTCACCGGTGGCCCCCCTCTAATATCATCCGGTCACGTGTCGGCAGGTCAACCGGCGTATCGTGCCCCAACGTAACCCTGGCTGGCTGACGCTCTCTCTCGCTCCCTCACCGGGAGCCCGCACCGCACACTGTACGTGGTGCCTCCGCGTTGACCAGCGCTCACCCAAGCCCCACTAGGGCTGGTGGTACTACACCCAGTAAGCGGGCTACACGTAATGCCAACACATTAACTGCCGTGGCTTCGTAAGCCCGGCACCACACAGTGACAATCACAATCACTACACTTGTAAATAAATTGGCCGTGCATTCATTCAATCATCAGCCATGATAAGTGCACTGCTGGATATGAAGACCTTTGCAAGCAGTTGCAAGCCGTTTGGCATCTGCGCACGAGCTGAATTTATCTCTGCACCCCGCCTGCGATGGACATTCTCCACTTTGCCTGCTATTCCTTCACCTTTCTTGCCCGCTGACCATCAATCCTCACCCCCCCCGCCCCCCCTTGTGACATTCTGTCAAAGCCCCATGTCCGTTTCTATGCCACCTAACGCGCACTGTACAACCCTTGTGTAAAATCCCCAAAAAACTGTATTTTAACAGGCCCACCGAGCTCTATAGCTATTTTTTCAGAAGCGACCTGGCCACAAATAATAGCTAGTTCAAAGAAAGTGGCTTATAAATGTGGAGGGGGAAAAATTCACTTGAGCACAGGGAGACGTACGCAAACTCCAAAATATACAGGCGTCCGGGTAGGGATCAGACCCACAACCTCCTGTATACCAAGCGAGGGAGATGACATCTCCTAGCCACCACGGCGTAGACTTTGTCATTGTGATCAGATTCATCCTTGCTTGTCTGGCGTTGGATCCGGACCAGTGCACGAGTCTCGAGTGTTCTGCGATTGGATCGGTTTCATCGAATGAAGCTAAGGATGTTGACATTTTAATCCGGAAGAGCGAGAATGCCGTGACGGATTTATACAAAAAAAAATTTCCATGGGAAGCGACTTGTCGCGTTTGTGGTTTTCGTGGCGGAAATGACTTGAATTTCCCCCCCCGGGTTACGGAGCGTTTAGGCATGCGTGTTATTTAAAGCATTGAAACAATAATTACTTTCCGTGAGCTGTTTACAATTGAGCGATAAACAAGCCGTGGACGAGCCTGTTTTTTTACAGCGAAGTTATTTTCCAGTACAGTCGATGATAATGCTGAAAAAATGTGTCCATCTGATCATCATCGTTGTTGTTAAAGTTTTCATATCTATGATGATCACGTACAAATCGTCATCATATTAGATCATAATCAGATTCACCATCATCATCATCCCCCTGGCAGTGATTAAATGAGTAGTGACAGGAAAGCAGTGGTCATCCTATGGGGCAGACTTGTCCCTTGCCATGTCAATGTGGAATTTTAAACCGAGTGCCCCCCCCCCTCCACCAAGCTCGCTGGAGCAGGGTAACGTTAGTCACGAGGGCAACAGCTGTTGACTTATCACAAGGTGGTACTCATTGTATCAAGATGTTAACTCCCTCCCCTGGTGTATTTGGAGTTTGCGTTCTCTCTCACGGATTTTTCTCTCTACCATTTGGCTGCTGTAAATATCCATGCAATGAGCCACTTTGTTGACCTATCACTTGTGACCAGGTCGTTTTATGAAAAAGAGCTACATAGCTCAGTGGGCCTTACCTGGTAACATAAAATACTTTATAGTTTTTAAATAGTTTATCTGGATAGATTGCGAATATTTCTCCAAACAACAATGATCCTGAATTTTTTTTATGCAATCCTTGAGCTACCCGAAGCCTTGTTCGTGTTATCCATAAATATTAGCGTGGCGACAATGTCTTGTTTTTTTAGCCATCGAACAAAGACTGGTCGCAATGCGTCGCTTTCAGATGCACTTCTGTGGCTGTCTGGAAAGCTCTCTTCCTTCCGATTCATTAGGAAGCCACTGGGAGATATGCACTTTTCAATCATCCAGATTGAAAACTAATTTATTTTAACTGTTTTTGTTTTTTAGTTTGCTGTCCTTCCCCCGCATCTCCCGATTTTTTGCATGGTTGGCTACGTGTTTAGCTTGTACAATGTGCGAAGAGCCAATGCCTTGCGCGGTCCCCTTTTCCTTCCGTGTGCCGTCCCGACTTTCGCACGTGCTCCTACAGCCTGTTAAGGCTATACGGGGGATCTTTGCCTGTATCTTTGTGGTGGGCTTGTGTGCTGGAGCTTCTCGCCTTGGCAGGAATTCTGGAGGTTTAGTGACGCGGGGGATGAGTTGCCCCCCCCCCCGTGCCACGGGCCTCTCCCCCGTGCTGTGGGGTTGGAAGGTTACTTTGCCGCGGCTCCTTGTAACGTTTTTCTGGGCCGTGCCGCTGCAACGTGGTTGTCCGGCATGTACGGAAGACACTCTCGGCATGCGGGAGCGAAACGTCGGACGCCCGCACCTCCGATAAGCCCACCGTGCCTCCCGACTTTTGGCTACGTACTGTGAGAAAGAAGTTCGGTGTACGTACACAACTTGCCGAACGACAACAACGACGATGACAATGCGCTGCGGCGAAACCCGCAAACCACATGGAAGAGCGACGCAGCACATGGAAAATATTCTTGAGCGGTTTATATGTCTGTCTGGGAGTTCACTATGGCCGCGTCAGACACTTGAGCTGGCGGTGTGGCAGTTATGGGCTCGGGTTATGGGCTCGGGTTATGGGCTCGGGTTATGGGCTCAAGCACTGGGCCATGGTGTTTCTCTCTCGCTCTCTCTCTTGGAGGGGGATTCATAGTAATCGTCGTTTTGGAGACAGTGAGCCAGCACTGCTAAACGTGATATCACGATGGCCACGTCACAGACACCGAGAGACTCCCAGCACGGGGTGCTTAACCGTCTTGGCGGCTCTGGCGCAGTTATGAACGTCTCTCGGACGTTCGTAACGGTCGTGTCAGAAACACCCCGACTCTGGGATTGAACCCAGCGCGTCTCGGTGGCTCTGTCTCTGTGTCTCCCACACACAACCATCGTAAACATGATGCCCTTTTTCGCGGCGAATGCTTTGCTCACAGTTTCCGACCGTCCGTGTGTCCTGCTTTCGCAAAATGAAAAGACGACCTTGTATTTATTGAGGGTTTTTTTTCGGGAACAGTGCGATTGCTGTTCCTGTTTTTAATATAAAATCTCACGAAATGCCACTTGGGAAAGTATGGAGTAACCAACCGCATTATCGGATTAAATCCGGAGACAATCGCTTGAGTTTATTTTGCGATGAGCCACGAGCAGAGGCGTAGACAAATGTGACTTTGTATTCCTCAAAAGTCACATGATGGGGGGGGTGGTGGTGTGGGTTGTATTGAGCCAGTGGTGGAAATTCTACATTTCCATGGAAGGGGCATGTGTGTGTGTGTGTATGGGAAGCGGTGGCGCAGTGGTTAGTACACTGCGCTCCAATTCCGGCGATCTGGGTTCAATTCCCGTTCACGGGAATTTAATTAATAAGTTCCTTGGCCTCTTCTGCGTCGACTCGGCCAGGCGTGGTGTTGGCCACTCGCCGCCTGGTCTGCCGTGCTGGCCTTCATAGGTGATGCCTCAACAGTGTGTTGAAGGTCGAGGGGATCTTTGTTTATATATGCATGCATATCTATATGTGGACTTTAGGACCGTGGTGAGGCCCTTTTTATTGGTCTTCTCTCACAACACCGCTTAGTCGCGCTGCATGGGCTACTTGAAGTCTATTTTATCTCTGTTACGTTAGATGGCGGTCGCACAGTGGTCGGCGCGCTGCGCTGTGCTACGCACCTGGTGACTTGCGTTCAATTCCCAAGCGTCTTCGGCCTCTTTAAGTAAACAGAATGCTCTCCTGAACGGATAAGATTGTGTGCGGCAAGCGGCGCGTTTGTGGGTGCGAACACGTGCGCAGAGCCGCTACCGGTGGTGTCGATCGGCCTCCATTGGAGGAAGGTTTTCTTTTTTTCTGAAGGAAGCTGCCGAGCAGTTGGAGTTTTGTCGCCCTCCGGCAACAACAACGGAGGGCGGAGGAGCGATGCTCGCAACAACAAACACTGAATTTTGGCAATGTGTGGAGCACATTGGGTGCATCTGCCAGTCATTTCAGGCAGTCGACCCATAACGCCTGGGTCTCGTTGTGAGCTGCAAACAATGAGCCTTCGACAACTCTCATGATGTCCTCGAAGTAAACCTAGCCTGGCGCAAGCTCTGTGGTGATGTGACCGTCACCTAGGCGTGAATGGGAGCTCCTTGTTATTTGGTGCGTTTGTAATTGGAGGGGAGGGGTGGTGTGACATTTCCTGTGGCTTTATTTTGTCCTTGCCAGGAGAGTACCTGCCGTGGTGTGTTTTAAACTTCAGCACTGGGGTGACAAAGTGGCCGGTTGTGGTGCTGACTAAAAACCACCCTTTCATGCTCAGTCGAGGTCTTCATTGGTGATTGCCACCAGCACTTGCCCTCTTGAGTCATATATATATGTGTGTGTGTGTGTGTACGTGTCGTCACAGATATTTGGGGATTACTATCATTTCCGGCATCGGGCGGTCGCAAAGCGATCCCTGTCAAGACATCACAACCGGAATCTGAAGCTGCAAAAGGAACCCAAGGTGAAGTCGCACACACTCTCCCCCCCCCCACCCTCGCCTCGATGGACAGCGCGAGGACAGTCCCGCCTGATGGGGCTGTCTCCAATAGCACGCTCGCACAGTAGTCTCTCTTGGGGTCTCTCTCTCTCTCAATACAATGATGGACTTTGAGGCCGTGGTCTTAGATGGGCTCTCTAGACTTAAATATATCCGCTCGCAGTGGTTTCTCGCAATACAAGATTAAATTTCGATTTAAAGCTTTCGTGACTGCAGGGATTCATATTCTTGGTTCTTTCGATAAAGTCACGTAGAAGGGAAATGATAAAATAATGAAAATATAAAACAATAAAAAATTCTCACGACGTTTCGACTGCAACACAAGCAATCATCATCAGGTGTGAAATCCACAGCAAGAAAATTTGAAAAAAGTGAAAAAATATTTTTTATTGTTTTATATTTTTATTCTTTTATATTTCCTTTCTACGTGACATTACCAAAAGAACCAAGAATATAATACAAGAGTTGTTTCTCAAACTCTTTTTTGCTCCACGGACCGCTGAGTCGATGCAGACATTTCCGCAGACCCACCCAGCCCCAACCCTGGTAACAAATCGCATTCACTTCTCTCTAAACTACCACTAATACTAAATGATTCATGTTTCCGGAACATAATTGTTTTTTTTGCGGCGCTGAAAGGGTTTTTTTTTTGAGAGGGTATTTAGATCTTGGGGTTATGGTAGTTTACCAAACTTCATTTTTTTAAATTAATTTATATAAAAAATATTAATGAAGACATTAATTTATATTATATTAAAAATATAAATTAATGTCTGAAATCAAACGGATAAATGTTGTCGTTATTTCTGGCACAACCTGCGTTTGCATCACCGTCACCGCGGGACTACCTGGCAGACCTGTCGCGAACCACGTTCAGAGAACAGCCGCAATACAACAATCGACTTGGAGACCAGTCTTAGATGGGCTCTCTCTCTAGACTTGAATCGAAGACTCGTCTCTGATCGGCTCTGTAGAATTTCGGCTTGGTATTCCAGTCTCGGACGGGGGGGGTCCCTAGACAACAATCGACTCGCACAGACTGCTTTGTGATGGGCTCTGTAGAATCTAGGCTTTTGACATTCCAGTCTCTGATGGGCTTTCGAGACAACGGCGGGCGGACAGAACGGTCTCTGATCAAGTCCGCATCAGACAAGAGACTTCCTGTCCTTCTCCGCCCCCACGATCGAGTCACGTGCTGCGTGCGCTGTGACGCCGCCGAGTTAGCGGTTTTTATCGCTTCGCATTTACGCAGCTGTGAATGTCGCCAAACCGCAAAGTCTCCTCCCCACCCACGGTATCCCACGCCCAGCCGTCTCCATGTCTCTCTGGGTACAGCTGCTGCCACCTCGGGGGTTGGGGAGGGGCAATTTGAATTGCGCCACTGTGCGAAAACGGAACGCGACCGAGTTTTGCGTTGTGGCCAAAAATGGGTCCCTGCAGCCACGCTCAAGGGATGGATGAATGGCACCGGCCCTCGAAGGTCACCCTGAGGGGTCGATGCAAAGCGACCCGGTTTGCATCGGCGTCATCGGCGTCGTCATCGTCGTCATGGTCGTCATGGTGGCGAGGGCGCCATGGTCCCGAGATTTTGACTACCTCGCCTGATGTGCAGGATGTCATGGGTTATTAATGATGCCCACCCTTGATGCCTGTGTATTTGGAGTTTGCGTGTCTTTGCACGTGGTCGCCTGGATTTTTCTCCCAGGTCCTTCTGGTTTTTCCCTCCACATTTAGAATCAACAACACGAGTTTCGAGTATTTGTCTGCTATAAACTTCCACTTGATAAGCCACTTCGTTGAGCTATCATTTGTGATGACCCGATCACTTCCGACAGAGCTACATAGTAGCTCCTGTGGGCCTTGCTGTCCGCCGGGATGCGTTTCCTCCTTGTGGTGGCGGCGGCGGCGTCACTGGAGGGCGAGCAGCTCAGTGTTTTATTTTACCAGGTAAGGCCCACTAAGCTATAGCTCTTTTTTTTTTCCCAAAGCGAACTTGCTATCACAAATGATCGCCCAATGAAGTGGCGCTTATCATCATCATCACGTGGACATTTATCGCAGCCAAATACTCTGAAAGGCACGTCGATGTTGATTCTAAATGCGGAGGGGGAAAAAAAACAACAACGGAGAAACCCAGACAAAAATCCACGGGACTACGGGGAAAGAGCGAGACACGCAAACTCCAAATATGCAGCAGGCGTCGTGGTCGGGATTGAACCCGCGACTTGGGAGAACGGTAAGCAAGTCACGAAATATAAATAAATAAACACCACACAGCAGTCGTCTCCCTCTGGCTGTTGTCGTCTCAGTCTCGCCAACAACGACCCGTGGACTTTTAGTCAAGTCATGGTCAGGTGCTGGCCACACCGCTGAGTCGCCTTCCTCACGCTCGGTTGCACAAAATCAACTTGCCCTTAGAAGGCCTCTCCTGCCCTTCGCCCAGGTGCAATGGGCCGAGCAGCAGGTGGTGAAGGCCCGGAGGAAACGGGAGCTGTTCCAGGAGCCCACCGATCCCAAGTACTTGCTGCAGTGGTATCTGGTACGTGGACCCGCACTCTCCAATGCACGCCGACGCCTTGAATTGTAATGTAATGCACGCCACTGCCTTGCAATGTGAAGCAATGCAGACGCCTTGAATTGTAATGTAATGCACGCCACTGCCTTGCAATGTAATGCACGCCGACGCCTTGCATTGTAATGTAATGCACGCCACTGCCTTGCAATGCAGACGCCTTGCATTGTAATGTAATGCCGAGGCCTTATACCCCAGCGTGTTACAATGCACGCTAACACATTGCGCACCGATGCATGGCTAGCCATCGAACAAAGACGGGCACGGCATTGCCCGTTTTCAGATGCTCTTCTGCGGCCATCTGGAATGTTCTTTCGGTACTAGGAAGTCACTGGAGCTGTGCATTTTTAAGTTTACATTGAAAACTAATTTATATCAAAGTGCTTTTTGTGTTTCGTGTGTTTTTCCTGCCGATTTTCAGCACGTAGCCAACTGTGCTAATGGAGGTTAGCACGGTTGCCTATGTACGGAGCAAACAAAGTTTGACATGAATACGAAATGTACACCAATGCATTATAATAGACACCAACGTATAACAATTCACACCACCATGCATTGCAGTAGATGACAGTGCAACAATGGATTGCTTGAGACCGCAATGTCTTATGGCAATGCTTTAAATGCACACCGTGTTGTTTAAGAGGCTCGTGAAGGACGCTGCTGCTACTGGGCAGTGTGACGCATTCACCCTCCAGCAACAACGAAGGGCGGAGGAGCGACGCTCGCAATAACGAGCGGCGCACCGGGTGGCTAAAGCGCAGCGAGTTGGCACAGTAGGGGGCACAGGTGGTGCATCGGCCAGTCCTCTCGGTAGGTCAACCCATGGCACCTGCTGGGTCTGCCCCGTGACCTCCTGCCAGCAACAAACCATCGAACGCATCACCTGGCCTCGGTACACCCAGCCTGGCACGAGCGCCGTGGTGACGTCGCCGCCACTTGGTGGCGAACGGCGGTTATTGCTGCCGCTGCTGCTGATGTTGTAGTATCGGTCTCCTCCCCCGCGCCCTGTGTGAGTGCAGCACAACAGCGTGCACCACGACCTGAACGTGCTGGCCGCGTGGAGCCAGGGCGTCTCGGGCCGCGGCGTCGTCGTCTCCATCCTCGACGACGGCATCGAGAAGAACCACCCCGACCTGGTGTCCAACTACGTGAGTGCAGCTCGGGGGGGGGGGGGGGGGGGCGGCGGGGGTGGTGGTGGATGGACACGGTGAGGGGCAGGGGGTGGGTGTCTGAATACTAAACACTAACATTAAACTACAGCAGATGACTCTATTATCCGCGCTAATCACGGGGGAGGACCGCCGCTGATAATTCAAAATTGCGGATGATCCAAAAATATCAATTTCCACGGATCTCTATGCAAAAAACCGCTTAATATCGGTATAGATGAAGAACGCACGCTCACGATCGAGCAATCAACGCACGTGCTCGGTGCTAACACTTTCCTGCTCCCGTGCAGAAGACTCGGCCCACGAAGTGAGTTGCAGAGCCACGCCAATCATCAATGAAACTCCACCCACCGTTGTAAAGATATGCAACGATTGTACTGCACTGTAGGGGCCATCGCGTGGATTTCGGGTTAACCGGAGCACATATTTGTTCGTTTTAAATGTTTATCGCACGTGACTTTCAACAAACATTTACAAGAATAACAATGCATAACTCTTTTTAGATTATTCATTTGGGCTTGAGGGAAAAAATAAACTGCATGCGTAATAATTGAGTCTCTGCTGTATGTTTATTTACCATGTAAGCCCCACTGAGCTACTTTATAACTTTAAAAGCAAACTTGGCTTCGCGAATGATGGCTCAACGAAGTGGCTTGTTACCGCCTTGTGGAAATTTACAGCAGCCAGCGCAGTGTCACTGTGGTATCCGTCCAGGAAACCTGGGGCCAGTGCCCGGCGCGGCATTGTAAGTCTCGACAGCCGCACGAAGAGTACTGGCTGTGTGTGTGCGAGTGTGCGTGTGGGGAGCAGGAGTGTAGCGGTTAGCGAGATGCACAGGTGGTGCATCGGCCAGTCATCTCAGTCAGTCGACCCATGGCACCTGGTTCTGCCCCTTGACCTCCTGCCAGCGGGCGTTCGACACTTCACATGGCCTTAACGTGCACTTAGCCTGGCACAAGCGCCATGGTGACGTTACCGCCACTTGGTGGCGAATAGCGGTTGTTGTAGTCGAGCGGTAATGTAGCGGTTAGCGAGCTGCGCTACGAATCTAGTGACCAGAGTTCAATTCTTGCTCTCGGCGAACACCAGGGACGATTATCGGAAACCGGTTCTGAGCCTCCCCGAGGTCGGGCGTGGTGCTGGCCAACCACCCCCTCGTGTGCCGTACCGGCCTTCATAGGTGCTACTCTCTAACAGCACTTGCCCTGACAGTCTGTTTAGGCTACACGGAGGGGGGGGGATCTTTATCCTTGTGTTTGCGAGCAGGATCCCATGGCGAGCTACGACGTCAACAGCAACGACCCCGACCCCCAGCCGCGCTACACGGAAATGAACGACAACAGGTGAGGTCCACGAGTGAGCTGGGTGAGTGGGTGAATGGGGAGTGGGGTGAGTTGGTGAGCAGACGAGCGAGTTAATGAATGAGCGAGTGCCGAAGTGAAGTGAGAATGTGCTAGCGGCTGAGTGAGCGGATGTTTTTGGTGGGGTGATTTGAAATGGGGGCTTGTTGGGGGGGCGGTAGTTGTTTTGGATGGGTTGGTGGGTCCGTAAATGCGGCTAGTGGTCACGTGAGTGAGTATACGAGTTAACGGGCAAGTGATTGGATGGGCTTGCATGGTGGTCGAGGTGGGCCAGCGGGGGGGTTGGTGAGCGCGATCTTGCCCGTCTTACCCGCAGGCACGGCACGCGCTGCGCCGGAGAGGTGGCGGCCGCGGCAAACAACGACGTCTGCGGCGTCGGCATCGCCTACAACGCTCGCATCGGCGGTGAGCGTCGGTTGCCCTCGCCCAACCCGAACACTCGCTCGTCCGCTCGTGTATCCACACACTCGCTCACGTGTCCCCGTGTGTGTCCCCCCCCCCCCACCACGTGTCCCTCCCAGGCGTTCGCATGCTGGACGGGGACGTGACGGACGCGGTGGAGGCCCGCTCGCTGAGCCTCAACCCCCAGCACATCGCCGTGTACAGCGCCAGCTGGGGGCCCGAGGATGACGGCAAGACGGTGGACGGGCCTGCGCGGCTCGCACAGGAGGCCTTCGTGCGGGGGATCACCAAGGTACCGGCGCTTGCGTAGAATACGCAGACAGACAAAGAACCCCCCTCCCCCCCCTTATGGTATAGCCTTAGCAGACTGCTGGGGCAAGTGCTGTTCGCAAAGACGCACAATACGACGGTAGGTGGTTCGTCAAGCGAGTTTAGGAAATTCACAAAGGCTTAATTTGTTCCGATACAATCGAAAGTTACCACCTTTTCGCCCAAAAAAGTACTTAAATATTTAAACAATGGATACTCTCTATAAGCATATTGTTTACTGTACCTACAACTGCCCGTCGTTAACAGGGGAATGGCCGGTAGGCAAACACAATTGGGCTCTATGGAGGCACTACTCTACATTACACTATACACTACACTACTATAGACTGCACGATACACTACACTACTATACACTACACATTGGGCTCTATTTAAGCCTGTTATTAAGCGAATAACCGTTAACAGGGGTGATCGTTAAGAGGGGTTCTACTGTGCACACCTACACGTTCAAAGGCAACAACAGTTGTCGCCGTTCGCCATTTAAGTGGCAATGACGTTGCCGTGGCGATTGTGCCAGGCTCGGTGCACGTCGAGTCCGTTACCTGAAGTGTGGAAGGCTCGCTGCTGCAAGCAGGTCGTAGGATAGCACCCAGGATGTGTTATGGGTTCACTGGCTGAGATAATTGTGGCATATCCTAGGCACAGGAGTTTAACACGTAGACTCTCGCTCTCGCCTGATGAGGCTGGTGGTAATTCCTGGCGAAACGTCGTACTCGAATTGTAAATGTTGTGGGTTTACTCTCCAACACACCTGTGTAGGCACCAGCTCCTCGTGAGCACGCGCTCTCAGCGGTTGCTTGCTCTGTGTGGACGCGAGCTGCGTGGCTCCGTGTCTTTGCCGCGGCCGTCGCGCCCCCCTCAACCGGGGGGGGGGGGGGCCCCCCCCCCCCCCCCCCATTGTCCTCTCTCGCAGGGCCGTGGCGGCCTGGGCTCCATTTTCGTGTGGGCCTCGGGCAACGGCGGTCGCGAGAAGGACAGCTGCAACTGCGACGGCTACACCAACTCGATCTACACGCTGTCCATCAGCAGCACGACGGAGAAGGGCAACGTGCCGTGGTACAGCGAGGCGTGCTCCTCCACGCTCGCCACCACCTACAGCAGCGGCGCTATCGGCGAGAAGCAGATCGTGAGTATGACCAGGGGATCAATACCTCATCCGTCCCCTCCGTAGCTGCCACTCTGTCTACACTTAGGGTCTAATCCGTTTTCCTCTCTCGGCTACCTCCCTGCCCAAAACTCCCACCGCCACCCCCCATGCCTTCAAACTGCTGACCTCTCTCAAGCGCCCCCTTCTGTTTAAATTGCCACCCTATCTGTTAACTGCCATCACCTCCCAAACTGTCCGATTTCGCCCTCTCGCGACTGCCCCGCGCTTTGTAAGCTCCCTGCCACCCGACGTTGACGCCGCCTCCCGCGTTGAAAAACTGTCCCCTCCCACCCCCCGCACCCCCCCCCCAGGTGACCACGGATCTGCGGCTCAAGTGCACGGAGAGCCACACGGGCACGTCGGCCTCGGCCCCGCTCGCCGCCGGCATCATCGCGCTGGCGCTCGAGGCCAAGTGAGACGCGTTGTCCTGCTAGACCCCCCCCCCACCCTCGCCGACGTCGTGCCATCTATGCTCTCACATGGGTCGTGTTAATTATTTTAATTGTTGTGAGTGTCACGTTAGCCATAGCTATGTTATCCGTGCGTCACGTGTGGCTGTGTCACCAGCCCCCGTCTCACCTGGAGGGACATGCAGCACCTGGTGGTTCGCACGTCCAACCCCTCGCACCTTCACGCCTCCGACTGGGTGACCAACGGTGTCGGTCGCAAAGGTGACGCTCGCGCACCGCTCACTTCCCCCGCCGAGGCGCCGGGTTCGAGTCCAGATCTCCCGCCGACCTGTCTGTCTGTCCGTCGACCCGCGAGTTTAGCGGGGTCGTCGTGTGCAGAGGAGTTGTGGTCTCAGCCGGGTGACTTGATTGTATGTATCGCCTTAGCGGAGTGTGTGTGCGCCCAACTGTGCTAATCGAAGGCCATGGGTGCGCATGCATCTGTTGTTTGTGCCTATGTGCGTCTTCTTCGCGTGTGTGTGCACGAGTCTGTTTGTGGCTCTGCGTATTTGTCTGCATCTCTGCGCGTGTCTGTCTGTGTGCGTGCGCAAGACGGCCGGGCGTGGTGTTGCCCCCCCCCCCACCCCCTCGTGCGTCATGGCCAGCCTTCCTAGGTGCTACTCATTAACAGCACTTGCCCTAAAGTTAAAGGCTATATGGGGAGTCTTTGTCTAATCAATGCATGCATCTCTTGTGTGCGCGCGTGCGTGCAAAGTGCGTTCCCGTCTCTGTGTGCGTATGTGCGTGACTTGGTATTTGCTTGCCTGTGCGCGTGTGCGTGCGTCTGTGATGGGGAGCGGGAGTGTAGCGGTTAGCACGCTGCATTACGAACCCGGCGACACAAGTTCGATTCCCGCTCACGGCTAACACCTGTGTCGATGGTCTGAACTGGTCCTTGGCCTTATGTCGACTCCATCTCAATGAGTTTCGAGTGCTGTGTGTAAACTTCTGCCACTAGGGAGACAAAGGCGACCGGGCGTGGTGCTGGCCACCCGCCCCCCTCGTGCCGTTCCAGCCTTCATAGGTGCTCGCTAACAGCACTTGCCCCAACAGTCTGTTAAGGCTACACGGGAGATCTTTGTCTTTGTGCGTGCAGTGAGCCACTCGTACGGCTACGGTCTCCTCGACGCCGGCGCCATCGTGACGCTCGCTCGCAACTGGACGACCGTTCCCCCGCAGCGGGCGTGCACCATGGAGATGAGCACTGAAGCCCGGTCAGTCGTCGCTCACCGGCACGCGCGCTGGCTCCTCTCGCTTACGCGTTCACCGGCTCGCTCAGCCGCTCCCTTGCACGCTCATTCTCTTGCACGTTCATTCGTCAGGTCTTTCGCTCGCTCACCACGATATCTACACACCGCCGAGGTGAGGCAGACCCAGTACCCGCTTTTGATGATAGTGTCACTGGCGATTAGTGGGGAATCGAACTCTGGTCGCCGGCTTCTCAGCGCAGCGCGCTAATCGCTGCGCCGCCGTTCGCTCGCTCGCTCACCGCCAACTCTCTCCCCCGACCCTCGCTGTGCCCCCCCCCCCCTCCCGCACAGCCCCATAGGACAGAAGCTGCTGGTGAGCGGGCGCGTGAGCTCCTGCCTGGGCACCGGCGACTACGTCACCACGCTGGAACACGTGCAAGCCCGCCTCACGCTGGCGTTCAGCCACCGCGGGGAGTTGGCGGTCCGTCTCACCAGCCCAATGGGCACCCGCTGCACGCTGCTGGCACCCCGGTGAGAGGGGGTGGGGGGGGCGGGGGTAAGGGGGGTGGTGCGCGCCGCTGCTGGGAGTAAAACGTGGGATATCGTGCCGAACAAAGACGAAGATCGCCCGTGTAGCTTTAACAGACTTTTGGGACAAGTGGTGTGAGCTGGCACGGCACACGAAGGGTGGGTGGCCAGCAACCACGCCTGGCCGCCTTTGTCTCCCCAGTGGCGATTTGTTTTTACACGCACGGCACCAGGTACTCAATTGAGGCTGACTCGGCCTAGAGGAGGCTCAGGACTGGTTCAGATAATTGTCGGGGGTGGCGGCGGCGGCGGCAGCAGTGGTGGCAAGCGGGAATCTAACCCGGGCTGGTTTGTAGCGCAGCACGCTCACCGCTGCGCCACCGTTCGCCGAGCAACGCGCAGTACAACTTGCGCGGGTGTCGGCGATCTGCGTACAGTGCAACCGCGTACAGTGCGACGGGGAACCCCTGCGTGGCGATGTTCGTGCTCGTCGCTCGCGTTAAACGCGGCGTCGGCGATGATGCTGACATTGTTCCGCAGGCCTCACGATTTCTCGACGGAGGGCTTCAACGACTGGGCGTTCATGAGCACCCACTCGTGGGGCGAGGACCCAACGGGGGTGTGGACCCTGGAGCTGGAGAATACCGGCAGCGTCCGCAACACCGGTGAGGGACCAGGGCCTCGCTCGCACGCCCCGTCCCCTCCCCACCCCCGCTCCGTCCACCTACCGCTCCCGTGACTACGCACCCTCATCCACTACCCCCCCTTCCCTACCTCTCCCTCCCTTCCCCTTGCGCGTGGAGACGAGGACAACGGCGATCTGTGTCCAAACGTACGGCAGCTGCCGACCTGCTCGGCAACGTGAACTCCATACTGGGCTTGGACGATGCCCAGACAACGATGTAATTGTGCAAGCTTCAATGTAATCTTGGTGCTGGCCGTGGTAACCTCGTGTTGCCCCTCCCCGCCCCCCCTACCACCACCACTCGTGCGCGTGTTTGGTGCAGGCACGCTGAAGCGGTTCACGCTGGTGCTTTACGGCACCGCTCACCGCAAGCGCAGCCTGCAGGGCGTCCCCACGGTGGCGTCGAGCGTCGCTTGCCGAGCGCGCGACCCTGCGGGGCTCTGTGTGGGTACGTGGACCGCTAGCTCGCTCGCTCGCGCACACTCACGCACACTCGCACACACGCTCCCGTGCGCACACTCAGATGCTCCTATGCACACCACAAACACTGACGCACGCGTTCTCACGCACGTGTGTACGCACTCACGGACGCATCATTGCCTGCATCCGCCCACCCTCGCCGGCTCCTTAACTCGCCGCGCAAATGCTCGCCGGCGCTCGTGAGCGCCGAGCGTGGTACTTCCGACGCTTGCCACCACCCTCCACCACTCGGGTGAACGCCATCGCTCACCTGGTGAGACACGCCGTGCCACGTTTCCCGTCTTACCTCCATATTCTCTCCCCATGCATTCCCACCCCTTCCCCGTATCTGCCTTCAACTACCCGCGCATCTCCTTTCTGCCGCTCGCGTATGTTCCCATGTCTTTCTTCACCTCCCTGTGACTCCCAGTGTGTCCCCCGTGTCTCCTTTGACCTCCCCCGTGCATCCCCCCCCCCCCCCTATCTTCCTTCAGCCTCCCTGTGTGTCCCGGTTGTCTCCCTGTGCGTCCCCGAAGTCTTCCCATGCCTCTCCCCTCGCATCCGCCGTGTCTTCCATTGCATAACGCTGTCTCCCCGTGTGCAGCGCAGTGTGTCCCTGCATCCCCCCGTGTCTCCACGTGTCTCCCCGTGCACTCTCGTGCTCGTGCTGCTTGGTCCCACGCAGGATCGCGGCTGTGGCGGCGGTGGCAGCGGCGTCGTTGGTGGCGCTGGCGGCAGTGCGGGGCCCCCCAGGCGGCGCGCTCGCAGTCGCCCTAGCCTAGGCAGGAAGCAGGATAGGGCCCGGCAGGGAAGGCAGGAGGAGCGTGCGGTGAGTGACCCCCCCCCCTCCCCCAGGCAGGCAAGGCACCGCCCTCACGGACCCCGCTGGGGCGCAGAGCAGCCTCGAGCCAGACCAGGCCAGGGGGGCGTTGATTGTTACGTATCCGGGTTGTTGACGACGGGTGTTCGTCGTGGTTTCCCCGAGCACGCGGTGTTGGTGACGGACATTGAATTTCTTCCCAGAAAACTTTCCTCGGCTAAGAAGAAAGGAATTTTTTTTTTCCTAAACTTGACTAAATCGGTCCCCATAATGTCGACCAATCCAAGTTTCAACTTTCAACCACGGGTGTCTTCGCAAAATGCCGACCCCCCCCCCCCCCCCCCCCCCATTAATTTGTTAAGCCAAGCGGAGATTGGGATGAGTGGGGATGGGTAAGGGGGGGCACACGCGTGGTGTCTCATCCTCTCGCTGCTTGGCGCTTCTGTTTTTGCACTGTGGGTCCCAGTCGCGCGATTTAAAACCCGGCGCACCGCTTCAGAAACCGTCGTGCACCTCAATCGTCACCCCCCCCCCCCCGCTGCCATGTCTGAGGTGAGGTGGTTGCGCAACGAGAAAGGGGGGAGGCACGGCAAAGGTTTCTCGCCATGCCCCTTTACAGCAGAGCCCCCACCTTCTTCCTGGATAGCCCCCCCCCCCCCAAAACCAACATGTGGTGACGAAACTCGTCCCTTGCCATGTCGCCGAACCGATCGGTCGCTCGAAAGTCTAAATTGTTTTGCTTTCACAATCAGTTTGGCGCAACTGCTCCCCTTGCAACCGGTCGGTAGGGACGTCTGCGTAAGCCATTTCGGTTGCATGCTGCCCCACTGAGTTGCGCAACTCGGCCTGCTCCGATGTGGGACCCAGCTTTGGGCAAGGGGGTGACCTTTTCTCTTCTCCTCCGTGTTGGGTGGGCGGGAGTGATGGGGTGGACTTTGTTGTTGCACTGTGTTCACGTTGTGTGCCGAGAGCACGCAGGCCACGCTTCTCCTGAAAAATGAAATGTACAAGCAGTGCTGCGTTCAGCGTCTCCACGCTATGTAAATAAAACGGAATCTGATGTACCCCCATCGGCCTCCTATTGGATTGTCAGGCCAAATACTATCCCGGAGTGCCTTGTCAAGCGAGCAAGAACTCTGGACCGTTGTCGAGCATCCTAGTCGGACGACTGTGTGTGCCTTTCCCGGATAAATAATGATCGTGTTAAATTTTGACTTAACTTTCGTGACTGCAGGAATTCATATTCTGTGGTTCCTTCGGTAAAGTCACATAGAAAAAAGAATAACAATAAAATAATAATAAAAATAAAGTGAAATAAAAATCACGACGTTTCAATTGCAACACAAGCAATCGTCATAAGGAGGAAAAAAGGGGGAAATCTGCTGGCGCAGGCTGTTTTATAAGGGTTTCGAGATGGGCAGGGCAACAACTTATTTTTATTTTATTGTTATTATTTTTTCTATCTACGTGACTTTACCTGTAGAACCATAGACTATTATCACGTTAAGTTAGTATTAAAATAAATCATCACCCTGCTGCCAACTGCCCAAAGTCGGCAAAACTTCGCAGGGAGCTGTGGTTTGTGTGTGCGTGGTTCGGCCCTTCTCACCACCCCTTCCGAAGCACTCTCACCAGTAAACCGTGTCTCCGCGAGGTTTGCGACCACGTCCTGGCTTCTCCCGGTGTCTCTGAACCTTACCTGCGGGGGAGCACTCTTCTGTGTCGGAGCTCGCAGCCTGCGGTTGCTTTTTTTAATGATCGGTTTTTTCCCCCAATCACATCTCCCGAGCACCACGGGGTCGTTTGGCTGCCGCTGTGACCCGACCATCGCGTGGCAGCTGCAGCTCCCCGAGTGTTTACCCCCCCCACTCGCCTACCACACGCTTGGCTGTGCCAACCGCTAGCCTGCTGGTCAACCACCCACTGTCCCCCCCACCCGCTCGCTCGCCCATCCACTCGCCCTCTCGTCTGCACCGCACACGCTCATCCGTACCCGCTCACTGACCCACTCGCCTGCTTACCCACCCATCCACTCACCAACTCCTCATTACCACTCGCCCATCCACTCACCTACTCCTCATTACCATCCACCCGTCCACTCGATCGCGTCCGCATCATCGCCACCCCCATCCACTCGCTCACCAACTCATCCCCTCCGCATCCCACTTGCGGGGGCCCGCCCACCCCGCCAATCCTCCCAGAAGACGCCTGTGCCCAATTTGAGCTGGCGCCGACCTCCCGTAGGGAAAACGCCGGGGAAAGTTGCTGGAGCGGTGCTGACGCACGTCGGCTGACAGTGTTGGTGGCGGTGGTGGTGGCGCGCGCCTTTCTGCTGCTGTCGTGCGCCGCGCCGCCGCTGTTGTCTGGCAGAGTGTAGGCCGCCCTTCCTGCTGTTGGGCCACGCCTGCGTGCAGCGCTGTCCCAACGGCACCTTCGCCAGGGAGCCGGAGCAGCAGCCCGGGGGGGCGAGGAGGAGGCGGTGGCTGCGGGAGCGGCAGTGGAGGCCGGAGGATTCGGAGGATTCGGAGGAGCATCGGGTGACGGAACAACAGTGGAAGCGAGACGACTGGCAGCAGCATTTTCCACCCAGCCGCGGTGGACCGTCGTCGTCGTCGTCGTCACCTCCACCACCGCGGTTAGCAGCAGCTGGAGCGTCGTCGTCGTCTTCGTCGCCGTCGCTGTGCGAGGAGTGCGACGCATCGTGCGTGTCGTGCTGGGGGCCCGGCCCGGCCGCGTGCCTCTCGTGCGCTCCCCACTCGCGCCTCGTTGCGTCGCGCTGCGTCCCGCAGCCGCAGGTCGGCCGTGCGTCCCCTCCGCTCTCCCTCTCGTCGTCCGGCGACGGCGACGGCGGCGCGTCCCCCGAGGCGACGACGCCGCCGCTGGTGGACTTGCGGCGCGCCGCCGCGGTCGCCTGCGTCGCCGCCGTCGCCCTCTTCGCCGTCCTCTTTGCCGTCCTGCAGCTGCGCTCCGGCGAGTGCGGTGCCGGTGCCCGCGCCCTGAGGACCGTGTGGTTCACCTCGGCCGGAGGTGGCGGTGGAGGCGGCGGCGGCGGCGGCTCCTGCTGCTGCGGGGACGTCGGCGAGAGCGGAGGAGGAGGGGGAATGGCCGTGTCGTACGAGGAGCTGAGCGCCAAGGCGCCCGACGAGGGCTTCATGGACGAGGACAGCGACGCAGAGCTGCACAGCGAGACGCGGGCCTTCATCCAGGGCTGACGACGCCGCCGCCGCCATCGCCTTTCGTCCTGGTTACTGTTCCCGGGGTCGCCCTCTCCGTGTGCGTCTCTGTCGTTGTGACTGTGGCCGATCTCGCTCCTGGAGACGTTCCCCCGTCTCCGCTTGAGTCGTTGTTTCGCTGCTGATGCTGCTGATGCTGATAAATGCCCGAGGACGCGAAACATCTCGCGTCGCGATGTTTGTCGGCCGTGAGAATGACCACGCGATCCCGCCGCTCGATGCGTTCACGTTTTATCTCTTTCCCCCCCCCCACCCCTCCCACTTGCGGTATTGTTGCGAGGCTATTTATCTACCCACCCCACACCTGTCCCACCCACGCCCCACCCCGAGGTGGCAACCCGACCTGACGGGGAGCCGTGGAAGATGGCGGCCGTTGTTTATTGGCCGTGCGTAAAATCCATCTCTAGCGCCGTTTTATAAATCTCGTGGGCAGATTTGAGTTGGCCGTTGTTGCGGTGCAGCTGTTTGTGTGTGTGTGTGTGTTTTAGTGTGCTTTGTCTTGTTGGGGGGTGGTTGTTTGTCTTTGTTTGAGGTTTATTGTGTCGTCTAGGGATTTGTTTGTGACCTCACCAAATTTAGATTTCCGTTGCGTGTGCACGTTTTTGATTCCGCGTTTGCAGTTTTTCGTTTTTAGGCGGAGATTCATTTTTTTAACTCGTCATTTTGTTGTGGTTGTTGCTCGTCAGAATTGGGTGTTTGCGTGCAGCCCGTTTCGTTTAGTCGTTGGGACGAAGCGCCGCCGTGCGACCGTTTTGTTTTTGTCGTTGGTAGCTTCCGTCTTGTTCCAGTCACGCGTTCTCTCTCTCTCTCTCTCCCCCGTGCATTTTTTTTGCGTCCTCTGCCGCGTGCCGTTCAGGACGATGTCTCTAAATGACGTCGTTTCGTCACGCGAGCGGCACGACACGAGATGGCGCGCGCGTGCGAGGGTTGCGCAGCTGTGCACGTTGCATTATTATTTTTCTTCCTTCCCGGTTGTTTTCGTCTTCATGATGCAGCTGTGCTCGGAGTGCAAATTCCTCGTTTGTCCTTAAGACAATTCCGGTCTTTGTGTTTCTGCAGCTATCTTTAAGTTTTTGTTCGTCGTTAATTCTTTCACGTGGTTTTTTTGTGTAAGTTTTGGCAGCATCAAAATGTTTTGTTATTTTTGTGGCCCATTTTTTTGTGCGAACTTAATAGTTGAGCTCCCCAATATTTGTAAAATGTTTTTTGTTTAATGGTTTTTTTTTGTGGTGGGTACGTGTGGCCCATCTCCAAGGTCCGTCGACACCACACTACACCTTCGTTGTTTGCCGCTGGCAAATATTTTCACGGGAGCCAAGAAATTTTTTTTTTTGGACCGTCCGCACGTGGTTTGCTGGAAACCTCTTAAACACCGGGTTTGCAAGTGGCTATGTTCGTAATTGTTAACACTGTTTAGCTAATTATCACCGGCTATTGGTTAGCCTCCAGCGTGCTGCACCTGTGGATGTTGAGGTTTATCGTGTGCGTATACGCCGGCGTCGCTGCGTGCGCGCATCGACACGCTGTAAGTCTACTCTACGGTGTATGATGGGATGGTATATGCACATGTCTTTATTTTGACTCTGCTGTTTCGAACCTGTAGAGTGGTGTGTGCCAATGTGCACTGTGTGTGTGTGCGCGCGTGTGCCAGTGTGCACTGTGTGTGTCGGGAGCGGTAGTGCAGCGGTAAGCGCCGCTACGAACCCGGTGACCAAAGGTTCGAGTCCCGATCGCGGCCAACACCAGGTGATGGATGATCTGAACCGTTCTTGGGTCTCCCCTATGTCGACTCGGCCTCAAATGAGTACCCGGAGCGGTGTGTAAACATCACCGCCGAGGAGACAAAGGCGGCCGGCGTGGTGCTGGCCACCCACCCCCTCGTGTGCCGTGCCGGCCGCCTTCACAGGTGCTGCTACTCGCTAACAGCACTTGCCCGAATAGTCAGTTGAAGGCTATACGGGGAGGAGATCTTTGTCTCTATTTGTATATATTTGGTCTTGTATATGTTTTGTATACGTGTAACATCATGTTCACGTGCAGATATAAAGTGCATCTATTTTAAATACATGTGCCTATAATGTTGCTGAAATGGTGTGTATTTATACTGTATAGTGTTTTCTGTATGCTACATGTTGTGAATGTACCTATATGTGTGTGTCTGCCCATCTACACTATGCATTAAGTACGTGCGTGTGTGTGTGCACTACTTCTGTAATACACACACAGCCAGTGTGTCGTGTAATATTACCTATATGGTGTGTGCCGTTACATCAGCACTGTGTGAGGAGCGGTGGCACAGCGGGTTGGCGCACTGCGGTGGTGTCTGACCCCCCCCCCCCTCCCTGTTTTGCGTGGTGTGAAACTAAATATCCAACACTGGAGAGACAGGTTGCAGAGCGTAGCGCTGTGATGGGTCGCCTTAATAGGTGCTTGCAAACAACAACAACAACACTTTGCCCTGGCAAGCGGTGTACAAGCTTTACGCTTCCGTTGTGTAAATCTGTGTAGTTCTGTTGAAAAAATGTGCGTGTGAAAGTACTGTATACATACATATCCAGCAAAGGACAGCATAGTCTTAAGTGTCTGTATATAAAACGGGTGCGTGTGTGTGTAAATAGATGTACGAAACATTGCTGCTGCTGCTGTTGCTTGGGGTAAAAGAATGCAAAAAAAAAATTGAAAGTCCTTTTTACAACACGTGACTTAAATTCTTGGTTGCTTTACATTCACAGTCCGACGTTTTAATTGCAAGTGTTATCGAACGTCTCGCCGCTTGTGTTTTTCGCATACACGAATATTTACACATACCCTGGTGCGCGTGTACATTATGTACATGTAGCCGATTTTCAGCAACATGCCGTAGGTGTGCGCGTGCACGCACTGTGTGACAGCGTTGCGGTGGTGCAGCCGTTAGCGCCGCTGCGCTACGAACCCGGCGAAACGCGTTCCCAATCCGGCTCACGGCCACCAACACCAGTGACGATTATCTGAACCGGTCCTGGGCCTCCCCTAGGTCGACTCCACCTCCAAATGAGTACCTGGTGCGGTGTATCAACATCGCCACTGGGGAGACAAAGGCAGTGAGGTGCGATGCTGGCCACCCACTCCCTCGTGTGCCGTGCCGGCCTTCGTAGGTGCTCCCAAGGAGCACTTCTGCCTCCCGGTCTGTCAAGGCGACACGTGGGGGATCGGTGTCTTTATCTTAGACGAAACATGTTAATCCTACAACACCGCATGTACAGGGACTCCCCTACTTTCGAACACGTTAGGTTCCAGAGGTTACAAGTGTGCACGCCCTACAAGTTGTAGGGCGTGCACACTAAACACGGAATGGCTTTAACAGTCGTATAACCTCCTGCAGATGTAGATGCCACTGGTTCTTCACGTTCTGCAGATGTAGATGCCACTGGTTCTTCACGTTCTGCAGATGTAGATGCCACTGGTTCTTCACGTTCTGCAGATGTAGATGCCACTGGCTCTTCACGTTCTGCAGATGTAGAGGCCACTGGCTCTTCATGTTTTGTAGATGTAAATGCCACTGGTTCTACAGATATAGATGCCACTGGTTCTGCAGATGTAGATGCCACTGGTTCTTTGCGTTCTGCAGATGTAGATGCCACCGGTTCTTCACGTTCTGCAGATGTAGATGCCACCGCCACCTCTGGCCCACCCAGCAGTAGTTGCGAATGGAAAGTTGCTGCAGTTAGCCGATGGGCAAGGCCGCGTGTCGCAGCGGGGTAAAAACTAAACTAAACTTTTTATTTTATTTATTTTACCAGCTAAGGCCCCACCCCGAGGTGTGTGTAGCTCGTTTTCAGAAGCGACCTGGCTGTCACAAATGATAGCTGGACGAAGTGGCTTGTCCACGCGGGGATTTATACGAACAGGCAAATCTCGTGTTTCTAAAATGAGGAGGGGGGGGGGGACCGGAGGACCCGGAGAGAAAGATCCACGCCACCGACGGGGAGACGCGCAAACAAATCTAACAGGGAGTTGGGATCGAGCCCACGAACCCCTGTAGACCAGGCGAGGTAGTTAACATCTCGCAAAGTGTGTGGGTACCCCCAGCTCTTTCCAATGCGTCCAGCCAGCGTTTGAGTTATCTCGCTAACAGAGCCTCCTCCATCCGCCACCAGTGCGGCGTGCACGCGTAAATATCTCCACCTAATTCTAGATGCTGTGTGTTTTGTTTGTACCGTTTAGACACACTCAGACACACACGCTCACCCCCCCCCCCCCCAAAAGTTTCGCTGCTCAAACAAGCAAGAGACACCCCCCCCCCCCGTGCCCTCCTCTGCAGTCGGCAGCCCTGCCAGAGCCAGTGGTGGAAATTCCACATCCCTATGACAGTTCCCATTTACCCGGCACGCGCGTATGTGTACACGCACACGGAGATGATATAATGCGCGTCTGTATTTACGTGTTTTGTCGTGCGGTATGTTTTTCAGTTTTTCTGTTTCATTTATTAGGCATAAACACGTTTATGTTTAACGTTAATGTAACACTTAAACGCGCACAGTTCTGGTGCTGTGTTAAGGTTCTTTTTTTTAGATGTACTACTGATGGCTCAACGGCATATAATGAAAGCTTACGGTCAATATTCACACAAGCTGGGCTAGCCTACAATGCAAACACGCGCGCGTGTGCCCGTGTGTTTATGCGCGTGTGTGTGGGGAGCGGTGGTGTAACGGTTAGCGCGCTGCAAACCCACGGCGACTCGAGTTCGATTCCCGCTCACGGCCAACACCAGTGACGATTATTTTCTGAACCGGTCCTGGGCCTCCCCTAGGTCGACTCGGCCTCAAATGAGTACCTGGTGCGGTGTGCAGTAAACATCGTCACGGGGGGAGACAAAGGCGGCCGGCCGTGGCAGCGGCCTTCGTAGATGCTCGCTAACAGCACTTGCTCCAACATTCTGTTAAGGCTATACGAGGGATCTTTGTCTTTTGTGCGCGTGTGTGGTGGCACTTGCCCCAAGACTCCACGAAGGCTGTACGAGAACCTCTGCCTTTATGATGCGCTAAGAGCTCAGTCACTGCCCTCGCTGTGACGCCTGATCCTGACTCGCTTCAATTTGCGAATCTGAACCTTTCCCCTCGGCCGACTCTGCCTTCAAATGAGTCGTCCCTTGGTGCAGTGGTGGTGGTGGTGCTGTGGTATGGTGTGTGTGCGGTCACGACAGGTAGGCCGGGGGGGGGGTCGTGCATGTGTGCTGGCCTTCCTGGTCTTAATAGGCGCTCTCTGATACCCGCTTGCTTTTCCCACTGGAACAACCGTGCCGAGCTGCTGGTTTCTTGTTTTCCCACTGCACGAGCCGAGACACGCCAGCGACGCGACCGTCTTTGCGGGTTACGTGGGGGGGGGGGGGGGGGTCTTGGCACGACGTTCACGCGACGTTCACGCGACGTTCGCCCCCTGATCCTCTCCCCCGTGGGTTCATTCGGACGTCGTCTTGCTGCTGCTCTTCTGGCTCCGTGGGTTATCGCAGCTCCCTTCTTGAGCACTCCTTTTTGGGTTTGGTTTTGTCCTTGCACGCACCTCGCGATTCAGCACCGGTTGGCCTACGTACGGTGTGAAAGAAATTCTACATACACACTACTTTGCACCACCTGTACAACATTGAGAACGCAATTACGTTAGCACGGCTTTGTGTTTTAGTTTTCCGTCTTTCTCCCCGCACCTCCGATTTCGCGCGGTTGGCTCTGTGATGCGAAATAAATTCTTCACACAGACGACTACTATACACTACACTGTAAACTACACTGCGAAATACGACGCCACGATACCACATTGAGAGTTAATTTCTTTCGCGCTGATTTTTGCGTGCTCCGTTTGACCTTCCCGCCCACCTCCGATATTTTTTTAGCACGGTTGGCCTACGTACGGTGCAAAAGAAGTTAAACATACCTGCAATGGGACAAACGTGTAGGGGGGTGGCAGCAGCCGTAGCCGTGACAGCCCCACACTGGCACGGCACGCGTGCCAGTGTCGCCGTGACAGCCATTCAGTAAGGTTTCTCACGTAAACAAAACATGGAAATTCGTTACTAGTACAGCAATGCTGTGTGTGGGTTCACTCTTCAACACACCGCCGGTGTGCTGAACTAGTAGCGGATTGACACGTTTTGTTTTATCTGACTGCTTACAAATTGGGCTGTGTCGGGTTTAACGACACATTCAGATTTACGCGATCTAACCCCAAAATCCTCCTTGTGGATAATATCGGTCGTGAAATCGATACATGTTTTTATAAACTCCACCACCACCCTCACCGTTAACTTCCATGCTGACACCACACTCATTACTGCCCTCTTCATTTGGAATCCTTTTTTTGTATCAAACATGAAAACAATGAAAGCTATCGTAACAAAAAAAACCTAAGGCTCACCGGCACACTCCGAAATCCTGCACAGGCAATCTGAGCATACACACAGTGTAACAATCCTGAGTGGGGGGGGGGGGGGGTCATGGTCACGGAACCCAAAGTCTGCGACCTCTCCTCCCACGCTATATGCAGCAGCTTCACCGATGAGTGCCCTAAAGAATGTCGTCGTCCTTCACGGAGCCCGCACCGCGCTGCTTGCTTGGATAGTTTCAAAAGTCCTGAACCAGATGTTGATGTTGTTGTTTTTAAAATCCTATGGACAATCTTTGAATCGTGCCGGGTGAAGGGCGGGGTGGTAGGGAGGATGGGGGGGGGTAAGTAAAATTAGGTTTTGGGTTTTGTGTTTTTAATTCCACCGATGCCAAAATCTCGCGTGACGCTTTGGTGAATGGGGATGGGTGGGGGGGCACTGTGGCTCCGGCCAGTGGGGGGGGCCGCGCTGGCGACGTCGTGGCGCCTGAGAGACGCTCACGACGGCGTGGGGGGGGGCGACACGTTGATGCTAAATCCGTGGCTTCTCGCTTTGCCAGCGCGTCCGTCCATCCGTGACGACGAGAAACAACGCGCCCAGCCGCGGCACTGACCGGCGTCTGAATTTGTTCGCTGAAGATGGGATGGGTTTTTTTGTCTTTTTTTCGGACGCTGCCGCCACTTTTGGGAATTTTATAGCTGGAAAGGATGGTGCTGTGGCAGTCGACGATGTGATGATGATGATATGTCATTCGTAAATGTTTCACCCCCACCCCCCTGTCCCCAACAAGCCTTGCTCGCTATTACCGGAGTGTAAGCTTCTGAAAGTCCTGTGATAGGTCCTAGTAACTTAATACGAATGCTTTGGATGAAGGTAAAATTTAACCTCGTTTTTAAATGCAGGTGGTTCCCAGACTTTTAGACGGTGGACTCCAAATCAAAACCACCAAGGCCAGAATGCAGATGGCTCCCTATCCACGCCTGAGTTCGTGAATGCGGCATTATTAGTAAGGCATTTGTTTTTCGCGTTGTGTAATTCGCGTGGTTTTTTTTTAGTCGGTAAAGCGTCTCCACGCCGTGTGTATCGTCCCCCTCCCCCAAACGTGGTGCTGTCGTGACACCGACACGCACATCCACAATTCTAAATTCCTCCTGCACGGTGTCCATGACGCAGCCTGCGCCCACCAGGTACATCAATGCCCCGCTGGTTTTTCCCCAAGGTTTAGCTTTGCAGATTCCAGACTTTTTTTTTGGTGAGACGAGTAGTGCTGTTTATTAGGCTCCTGCAACATTCTCCAATCCTACAGCGTGTGCCCGCGAAATCCCGCCTCTGCTACTGCTACTGCCCCTGGCCTCCCCTCTCCCCGCTTTGCCTTGTGACCAAATCTCGTCCATGAGCCCCCCCCCCCAGACCCCAGACGTTCCACTTCGGCGGGTTGCCAATTTGTCTTCACGGCCGATTTTAACGGGGCGGTTACGCCGATACCCACTTATCGCGCAAGTCGGCCTTGTAAAGTAGTAAACAAAAGACGACGACAACACCCTGAAAGTTGTTGCTGATGCTGCTGCCTTCTACAGGTGCGGGGGGGAGCCCCACAGACTATACACGGACCCTTGAACCCCCATGGACAATTTGGGCCCATAGACTTTTTTGACCCATGGGCTAATATAGACCCTTGGATAGTTTGGACCCTTGGATAATTTGGACCCATGGGCTAATATGGACCCATGAGCTATATGGACTATTTGGACATTTTGGCGTTTGCTCCGCCGTTGCCTGATGGGCAAGAAACGAGGGGGGAGCGATCGGGACTTTTCGCTCGTCTCGCGTTCGTCAAAGATCCGCCTGCTTGTTGTTGTTCCTCGTCCTCCTCCTCGCACCGACGGTCTCCGTTCTCCCCGGGAGGGCGACCTTCGGTTCGTTTTGGATACCCAAAGCCCCCCCCCCACCCCCCTCCACCCCCCTCCACCCCACCTCGAGGTGCGGTTTGAATGGGAATGTAGCTTTGATTGCTTTAAGTTGATTTTTGAGGTCCAAAAAACTATTGAGTGAACTACAAACATTTAATGCAAGCTATATATTTAAGAAACGTGAAAAGAATATACTTTGTGACCAAGTGGATGGGTAATTTTGTACATATTGGTCTGCGAAACTGCTGTTTGCATATGTTAATCTGTACGAGTGAATTATTTTTTGCATTTAAAATAAAGATGTTGACTTTGCGGGAGATTTAGACGATTTGGCCTCGCAGCTTAACGTGAGTAAGAAATAAACTTAAACACTTTAGACGATGTTTGTTTTTGTATCTTTTTTAATTCGCGATTTCCCCCCTCCCCTCCCCCCACTTGGCTGGTCAATTGGAAGGTGGTCGCAACTTCTCCAGCGCCGGTTGTAGGGTCAACTTCACCCATCGTCATTCCAGCAGGGTTGAACAAAATGAGAATGAGCGCTGCGATTGCGATGTTTAATACCTCGCCTGGTACACAGGAGATCGTGAGTTCGATCCGAACCTGTTGTATATTTGGCGTTTGCGTGTCCCTCTCCAATGGTCCGATGGTCGTGTGGATTTTTCTCCTCCCGGGTCCTCCGGGTTTTCCCTCCCATATTTAGAAACATGCGTTTTAGAGTATTTGGCTGATATCAAATTTCCGCGTGATGATAAGGCACCTTCCGTTGAGCTATCAGATGTGATAGCAAGGTCGCTTCTGAAGAAAAGCGACAGAGCTAAGTGGCCCTTACCTGGTATAAAACACATTCCTCCTGTGGAGGGAGCTGGTAGGAACGTTGGGTTGCTCGGTCAATGGCCAGGGTCAACGGCGGCGTGGTGTATTCCGCAAATATGCCCGACTGAGGGCAGGCACAAGCCGGCGTGAGTAGGTTAAACGTTGAGTTTTATAAGGGCACCACGGGGTGACCAGCCCCTCCCCACCCAGCCCCTCCTTGCACGACGGACACAATAATCCCCTGTGGGCTGGTGGAACCAGGAGGTTCTTACCAGTAAAAAATAGCTTGGAGTACGCATTGTTGTGGGTTCAGCCTCCCTTGAGACACTAAACATGCACAACGTCAAATGCACTCCGGCTTTGAAGAACCATCTCCAGACCTCTCTCTTTATCTCTGTGTGTCTGGCTCGGGGCTTTCGAGCGGCCCTGAGATTTGCTCCAAGCCTATGAGTTGTCGACTTTGCAACATCTGGCGCGTTACGAGTGGCATTCATAATATCATCATTCTCAACAACAGGGTTTGGCTTTTTCAAGTGCTGCTCAACTTTGATCAACTGCAGGAATGCGGTTGACGATCACGGTTGACGGGAACGACCGCGATTGTGATGAGCGAATTGCCCCCAACAAGGAGGCGCAACAACAACAACGCCAACAACAAACTCAACGCGCCGCTGTTCATGAAGCGATCCGCGTGGATTGCAGTTGCCGTGCAGTGGCAGGAGAGGGCATTGCCGAGCCGCTGAGACCCAGCGGGGATGCTGGGCGTTGACCGGGGGGGGGGGGGGGCTCGTCATCGCGATGTTGTGGGGGGAGCGAGAGTCGGAGTCGTCGACTCGAGCAACACCAGCGACGATTCTCTTGACAACCCCCACCAACCACCCCACCCCCTAGGTCAACTTGGCCTCAAATGAATACCGGGTGCTGTGTAAAGTAAAACAACATTTAAAAAAAAAATTCCGCTAGGGGAGACAAAGGCGGCCGGGCGTGGTGCTGGCCACCCACCCGCTCACTCCTTCTGTGTGCCATAGTCCCAGCCTTTACAGGTGCTGCTACTCCCTAACAACCCTTGCCCCAAAAGTCTGTCGAGGCTATACGGGGGGGTGGGGGTGTGTGTGTCTTTGTCTTTGTTGTGGGGGAGTAAGGGAGTGAGGGAGGGAGGGGGGTGGGAGACAGCTGGCGTTGTTGGCCCAGGGCCTCGATGGGCCCGAGCACGTGACCGGGGGGGCCCTCCCCGTGAACAAGGAGGCCGAGAGGGCTGCAGGGTGGTGCTGGTGCTGGTGGTGACCGCGTGGAGCGTCTCGCTGGCGAGTGGTGACGTTTCCCTGCTGGAGGGATGTCAGTGGCGTAGGACCTGCATTACATTATGTAACCATTTTTGTTCATGGGTAGTAAGTGTTATTTCGTTAATTGTTCATGCCTAAAAGTACAGAAGATTGCTATTATTCCTGCAAACTTTGCTTTTGTGACCAGGACAGTGATATTTAGAAATGTACCTGTTTTAATGTGTCTCTTCGTTCACGTAAAGTCAGAAAAAATAACCTATGAATCAAAATAAACATGTATTTATACTAAAGTAATAAAAAAATGAACTCCCTCGGTACCCTCCTCTTTACAGTCTCTCAAGTCACCCTTCTTCCAAGTCCACTGCAAGGTCACTGGGTCACCCACTCACCTGTTCACTCACTCACCCACCCACCAACTCACTCACTCACCCACCCACCCACCAACTCACCCACCCACCAACTCACCATTCATTAACTCTCACTCACCGACTCACCTGTTCAATCACCCACTCACCCCACTCACCCACTCACCCACTCACTCACTCATTCATTAACTCACTCACCCACTCGCCTGGGCATTCACTCACTCTCCCCACCCACTCATTAGCTCGCCTCCTCACTCACCTGTTCATTCACTCACTTTCCTCACCCACTCACCCACCCACTCACCCACCCATTCATTAACTCTCACTCACCCACTCACCTATTCATTCACTCACCCACTCACGCACTCACCCACTCACCTGGGCATTCACTCACTCGCCCCACCCACTCATTAGCTCACCTCCTCACTCACCTGTTCATTCACCCACTCGCCCCACTCACCAAACCAATCACCCACACATTCATTACTTCACTCACTCCCCTACTCACCTGTGCACTCACCCACCCACCCACTCACCACACCGCAGGTCACAATATTTCTCCTTCTGCTCTCTCCCTTCGCTCTGCTCCGCGTTGGAATGCCTGATTTCCCTCCCATCATCTTTTACTACAACCACCTTGGGTACACGTTTGTTTTCATCAAATGTCAAAATTGTATCCGTGCTGTTTGTCGCTGACCTCTGGCGCTTTGAGTGCCTGCGCTCAGCACCCGGCGCATTGTGTGAACATCATCAATGGGGGTACAAAGGCGACGGGGCCATGGTGGTGGTGGTATCAGCCACCGTGCGCACCTTAATAGGTGCTCGCTCAGGGGCGGTTTCTTCATTAGGGCGATTGGGCGACGCACCACCAATGTCATTCAACCACAGAGTCACGCTAGCCGTCACTGTGCCTCTGGATATAGTCCAATCAGCGTCATGTCACGTTCTGTGGAGTACCACCTCTTTTTGGGCGATTTCACTCCGGCTGAGAATCGCCCCGAGTGGCCCCATAGACTTACATTCAAAGATGTTTTTTTTCGACCGGGGGGCGCTGCAATGCATTCTCTACGGCTTCCGGGAGGGCTTGCACTAACGTGCTTACGTCATCATACGTAAGCACGTTTCATCCAACAATATAATTTGTCGCCACCTAGTGGAATCTTTAATAAAAGAAACTTGAGTGGATTGTATTAATAGTGAGTATAGAAACAAGCAAGATGTATTGTAAGAGTCACTTTATTTAGCATTAATATTAAAGAAGTGAAGTTGCCTTTACATGCTTAAGCTGTTAATTTATCCATTGCATGGGTGGACCTTATCCTTATCAATCATCCAGACATTTGCCCCCCCCTCCCCCTGAGAGATTTTGCAGGAGCCGCCACTGGGCTCGCTAACAGCACTTGCCCCTGCCCCTATCGTGTCGCTGTGGCGCTATTTGGGGAAACTTTGCGTGTCCGGTCACATCCCGAAAGTGACCTTGAAGTCCACCCCCCCCCCCCCCCCAAAACGTCCAATCTGCCTCGCCCTTCCTTCCTGCAGAACGACGTTGCAATTGTTCTGACCTTGCCTTTGTGGAAGCGTGGGTCTGTGTGTCAGTGTGTCAGTGTGTGTGTGTGTGTCCGTGTGTGTATGGGGAGCTCGCTAACAGCACTTGCCCCTACAGTCTGTTAAGGCTATACGGGGGATCTTTGTCTTTGTATGGGGAGCGGTAGTGTAGCGGTTAGCGCTACGCTGCGCGACGTACCTGGCGACCCGATTTCAATTTCAGCTCCCGGCCAAAACCGGTGACGTTTATCTGAACCGGTCCTGGGCAGCCCCCCTCCCTTAGATCGACTCGGCCTCAAATAAGTACCTGGTGCGGTGTGTAAGCATCGCCACGAGGAAGATAAAGGCGGCCGGGTGTGGTGCTGGCCACCCACCCCCTCGTGTGCCGTGCCGGCCTTCATAGGTGCTCGCTAACAGCACTTGCCCCAAAAGCCTGCTAAAGGCTATACGGGAGATCTTTGTCTTTACGAGTACAGTACATGTTAGTGTAAGCACGTGTGTGTGCAATTATGCCCAAGCTTTAACCATGACCCGTTTTGGTGAAAAGTGAGTTCTGCTTACATAAGCACGCATCACATTTCTCATCGGCAAGCCGAATGAAAGAAACACTTATATGCCTGTAACACATTCGTAAATTAGACTCTGTAGCCTTAAGATAAAAAAAAAATGATCGTCAAAGTTCCGGCCAATGACCTTCTACAGAGCACTTAAATATTACAGTCTGTGTTACTGCACGTAATAATTCATTTTTTAATGTAAGTGCTATGAAGTAGGGGCATTGCCCGAAACGTCGCCTATCATGTTTCCTTCGAGGCCACGCACGCACCGTCAGTTGTTACTGCTGACCGTGATGGGTTTGTGGCTGTCTGTGCTGCAGCAGTAGAAGCGGCAACACCAGCACCGCCACCACCAAACCGAGTCCATTGTTCAATCCGTGGCAAAGGTCCCAACCGGGTACCCGATACCCGTACCCTACCCGATACCCGGCTACCTGTACCCGGCCGGGTACTGGTAGCCGTTTGCGACCCTGGTGCGGCCGGGTACGGGTAGGCCGTGAGTCACTGGTGAGTAACCGTTTGTCACTCATTTCGGGTAGGGTACGGGTAGGGAACGGGTACCCATTTGTGACCCTGGTGCGGCCGGGTACGGGTACGGGTAAGGAATCAAAACCCGTTTGCGACCTCTGGTCCGTGGTGACCGCAGCAGGGAGAGCCGACCCTGCTAAAACGTGCTTCGAATCCAACTCACGCGCCAAACTAATTTCTTCACTTTATAATTTACCAAGTCAAGCCCACTGAGCTTTACGGCTCTATTTCAGAAGCGACTTGGTCACAAGTGGTCGCGCAGAAATAATTATAAAAAAGAAACAC